CAACCTGAGCAAGAGCGAGACCCTGTCTCTACTATAAAATAGAAAGAAATTAATTGGCCAACTAATATATATATATATAAATTAGCCGGGCATGGTGGCGCATGCCTGTAGTTCCAGCTACTCGGGAGGCTGAGGCAGAAGGATCACTCGAGCCCAGGAGTTTGAGGTTGCTGTGAGCCAGGCTGACGCCACGGCACTCACTCTAGCCTGGGCAACAAAGCAAGACTCTGTCTCAAAAAAAACCACAAAAAACCCATGATCAGCGTTGGGCAGCGCTGACATTTAGAAGGACGCCTCCCCATGCTCTCCTCTCTGGGCGTTCCTACGTTGTTATGTGGCTTTGGCACCCAGAAGTCACACTAGCTGACTGATTTGTATTATAAAAGGCCGGGTGGGAGCGGCCCTGGGGCAGCGAGACCAATTGCTCATCTGTCTCCACCGCTCCCTGTAACAGCTTCATGACTCAAGATCACGACTGCATTCAGGAATCTTCTCTGGAAGATCCCTCTTTTAAGTGGAGAACACTTTCTTTTTTCTTCTGTTTTCCCAATGGAAATTTTGGCTAGGAATTTTGACTTGGGGAACTAAGTTGGTTTTGCCACACTGAAAGAAGAGTTCAGACGGTGTTTGGATATTTTTCCCTGATGAAACCTGCTCGATCCCACTTCTCTGCTCACTAGTAATGTGGCAATTGCAAAGGTTGGTGGATTTTATTTAAAAAAAAAAAAAGATTGCCTGTGGAGTTCATGTTCTAGATGGCTGACTTTACAAAGTTTAGCTAATTACCTCTTGTGTAAATGTTCCTTGTTTGGTGAGATTTGCTCCCACAGTGGGATTTTATATAACCGATCTGTCTGAGACAAGTGTGTTTATCCCCTCCCCCCCACCCGATGTGATTAGCCAGATTTAAAACACAATGGAGCGGCGTGAGTGGCAGTCACAGAGGGGCCCTTGTTAGTCCCAGTGCTCTGTGGTCCATGACAAAGGGGGCAGGGAGGGGAGTCTGACTGCATCAGCTTTCAGTCTCAGGCTTAGGAGGGGCCATGTGGCCCTTCTGGCTACACGGGGATCCCCTTCCTTCCTCATCATTCTGAGTTTGGCCTGAAAAGTGTCAAGTTGGCTGCATCTGCTTTGAACTCCCACAAAGGCCATCTGGTCTTCTTGACTCAGTCGTCAGCACTATCAGGCAGTCCTCATTGAGCCTTGCAGTTTGGTGTCTCAGTGTCATCACAGCCCCTCCCCCAAGCGGCACAGTGGGGACCTCCCTGGGCCTTGAATGCACCTTAGACAGTGCCATTTCTCTCTTCTCCCTGGTTCCTAGCTCTGTCTGGAATACCTTGATGTCTGGCCCAGTTCTCCAGATCAACTCAAGTACCACCTGCTTGATAAAGCCTGCAGCCACTTGGATGTGTTTCCTCTTTTCCTTGGACCTTTATGATACTCCCTCAGACACTTGTAATTTATCCATCCACTCAGCCAGCCAGCCAGCCAGAAAAAGGTTTATTGATGCCTAGTGTGTACAAGATTTGGGATATGTCAGTGGACTAAACAACAAAGATATCTCCCTCATGGAGCGTGCATTCTAGACGGGGGAGATGGCATATGTAAACTGTACATTTGTGAAGTAAAATAAAATCTTAAGGCTCCCCCCCCCCCCCCCACCGGCTGACTGAATGGACCCCCTCAAGGCCAAAGGAATATACTAAAGCAAAATTGCCTGCCAGGAGGAGGGAGGTCAGACATGCAGACATGCCTTATCATGCCCCCCTCCCTTCTTGGGGACTTCCTTTGTAACCCATCAACAGGCCTAACGGTATGCAAAACAAACCTGCAGGTCCTCAATTTACACGACAAATCTATGTCTGGTGGCTTGTCACTGATAACAGCTCCTTAAACATTCCAAGCCTTTAGACAAAGCTTCATGTCTTTAACCAATTACAAGCCACCTGTAACCTGTAAGCCACTTTAAACCCACCTATTACCTGTAAGCCTCCTCTTCTGAGATGTCCCACCTTTTTGGGCCAAGCCAATGTATGCCTCCCACTTATTGATTGATGGCTTTACATGTAACCCCTGTCTTTCCGAAATGTATAAAAACCAAACTGTAACCCAGTCACATGGAGTCCACTGCTCAAGACTTCTTGAGCGTGGCTTCAGGTCGTGGTCCTCAAATTTGGCTCAGAATAAATCTCTTTAAAATTATTTTACAGTTTGGCTTTTTCCGTTGACACATGTAATGAAGCAGTCAGTTAGAAGGGGAGAAATGGAGTGGAATGAGTAAAAGGAGAAGCAGAGCAGGCTAGGGTTGATCAGACGGGCAAGCTGGGAGGAGGGGGCAAGATGCTGTAAGTCTGAAGTAGGCAGGCGTCAGTGACACTCTCTGAAGCTGGCCTGGCACCGTAATTTGTGTGTGTCTTCTTCCTCCCCAACAGAAAGGACAGGGACTGGGTGTCCTCACTGATTTTCTGCCAGCAGCAGTGAGCACAAAATGCCTTGAGTATAGTTGGTGCTCTATAAATAATTGGCAAATGGAAATGAATGTATAAAAAAATGAATTCGAGGACCAAACTCCTCCATTTCCTACTTTTATTTTATTCCTGCTTTTTTTTAAAAAACAAACTTTATAATAAATGATCTATGCTTAAGAAGTTGAGATTCCTTTCCTATTAACCCATTCTTTTTAAGATAAAATTTGTCACTGGTGCTCAGTGGAGACAGGGGTTTCGGAAAGTGTCAATGCCTGGACTACTTTTTTAAATGGAAAAATGTAATCTCAAGATATAAATTTAAATTCCACTTAGAATAGCACAGAAAAGCATAGTTTGATTATGGCTTTGGCCAGGTTTTTGCTCTACAAGAATCATTTTTTTAAATTGTCAATGGAAAAAAGCCAAACTCTGTAAAATAATTTTAAAGAGATTTATTCTGAGCCAAATTTGAGGACCATGACCCAGAGCCACACTCAAGAAGTCTTGAGCAGTGGACTCAATGTGGCTGGGTTACAGTTTGGTTTTTATACATTTCAGAGAGACAGGGGTTACAGGTAAAGCCATCAATCAATAAGTGGGAGGCATACATTGGTCTGGGCCAAAAAGGTGGGTAATCTCAAAGCAGGGGGGGGGGCTTACAGGTTATAGGTGGGTTTAAAGATTCTTTGGCTTGTAATTGGTTAAAGAAATGAAGTTTTGTCTAAAGGCTTCGAATGTTTAAGGAGCTGTTATCAGAGACAAGCCACCAGACATAGATTTGCTGTGTAAATTGAGGACCTGCAGGTTTGTTTTGCATCCCCTTAGGCCTGTTGATGGGTTACAAAGGAAGTCCCCAAGAAGGGAGGGGGGCATGATAAGGCATGTCTGACCTCCCTCCTCCTGGCAAGCAATTTTGCTTTAGGATATTCCTTTGGCCTTGAGGGGGTCCATTCTGTCAGCCGGTGTGGGGGGGTGGTGGTGGTGAGCATTTTAGTTCACAAAATAAATAGCCTTTGGGAACTGCATATGGGGAAAACATCTCTAGAGTGCATTTTATTATTAATTTGCTATGAAGAACTAAAGGGTCTCTTGACAACTTCCAGACTTAATTGGCTTTCAGTTTGCAAATATTTATCAAGTGAAATGACATTATCCCTGTGCAGAGCAACATCCAACATGAAGGATGCAGAAACAGAAGTCACCTGACCAAGGAGTCTGTGCTGCATGCTGTCAGCTCTTACCTGAGGTTTCGAGATTATGGGAAATCAATGCAGAATAACTCTCCAGGCTGCATTCAGTTGATTTTGCTGGGTCTTGAATAATAATAATAATAGAAAAAAATCTAAGACTGCAGTAGCTTTCAGCTGCCTCATTTAAAATGCAAATGACTGCTGCAGCTGATAAAATCCTCCCCTGAGAGCTCAAGAACTCTGCCTAACTTAGAGCATCGAATGCCATTCTGCATGGGCCACACAAAGGGTGTGTCATAGGCTCATAGAAGCTCAGAGTCAGGAGGCCCCTCTGGATAACCTTGTTGCATGGTTTTCCAACTGCTCCAGCCCAGTCCCTGCTGTGGGCCACAGTGTGGGGAGGGTACAAGCTGGAAGAGGAGGGCAAGGCTCTGAGGGGTGCCCCACCCTGGACCCTTGCCTCTGCCTCCTTTTGTTGCAACACACTTTGACCAGTTTTACTGTGTTTATGCTTCTGTCTAAGGGTGTGTGTGAAGGAGGGTTCTGAGGTTTAAAGATACTTGGGAGGAAATAGTTTCATCCAAATTAGCTCCCTCGTTTTCCAGGTGAAGACGCAGCAGCCGGGAGAGGGTAAGGCGTCAACTCTGAGTGGTGCGTGCCGCGGCTCTGACAGCAGGCAGGTGTGCACCTCGGTGGCACTGTGTCCTTCCGTGTCTGCCTCACTGGCCTGGTGTGAGAATCAAATGGGACACAGGAAAGCACAATGTATTAATGTAGAGAGTACACGTTGTAACGCAACAGTTAAATGTAAATGTTACAATCGTGTTCTCTCTCCCACCACTGGAGCAATCATGTAGGTTGTCAAACTTGTCCCAGGAAGCCCTAGGGATCATCTCAGGGGCTCAGCGACCTGCCTTTTTCACTCAAAGCATCTTCCTCTGATATGCTTTCTATGCTAGGCTTCTAGGTAACGTTTCTTTTGAAGATAGGGCTCTTCAGTAGCTGTGTTTGCTCGAAACGAGGGCAGCCATCCGTGCCCATCACAAGGAGCAGGCACAGGATGTTTGGGGCAATGATTGGCTGAGTACCTGGTTTAAAGATGATTGCCACGTCACGTAAGCACTAGGAATAGATTGGCTTGAACCAGAGAGACTGAACTCACCACGGAGAGCTTAGAGCTGCATTGAGACTTGGGGTGTCTTTTAAACCGGGGTGTTCCCAAGGCCTTTTTATTGCTTGGCTCTGTTTGTGACTGATGCTATGGTTCAGTGTAAGTACCAAGGTGGACACTAAGTGGTACCAGATAGGTGATGGTGCTTTTTTTCCTGTCTTTGTTTTTTAGTGCACTTACATTTCCATCGACCAGGTCCCCAGGACGCATGCCATAGTGATAAGCAGACCCGCCTGGCTCTGGGGGGCAGAAATGGGAGCCAATGAACATGGAGTGTGCATAGCCAACGAAGCCGTCAGCACCAGGGAGCCAGCTGCTGAGACAGAAGCCCTGCTGGGGATGGACCTGGTCAGGTACTGCACGGTGATTCTTTGAAACAACTGCCCAGAAAATGTCGGAAATGGAGACAGGATTTATTTTCCCCAGACCTCATATTTTATAACATAATTCTCCCAAAGATGATGTGTGCTCTTTGATATAAACTTTGAGATAACAGAGAAAAGGAATAGATCATAATGGAGTATTGATTCAGCAACAAAAAGGAATGAAGTGCAGATACACACTACAACATGATGATCTTGAAAACATCACACCGAGTGAGAGAAGCCAGACACAAAAGGTCACCTATTGCACGATTCTGTTCATGTGGAAGACACAGAACAGGCAAATCCATGGAGGCAGAAAATAGTTAGGGGTTGGGGTGAGGGTGAAGGAATGGGGAGTGATTCCTCATGGCTGTGGGGTTTCTTTTTGGGGTGTTGAAAATGTTCTAAACTTAGATTGTGGTGGTGGTCACACAACTCTGTGAATAAACTAAACACCAAGAAAAAATATTTAAAAAAATACATAAGAGAAAAAAAAAAAAACTGAGATCACTTTCTTCCTTTCTCCTTTACGTCTCAGTTGTCTTTCCTTCCTGTCTCTCCTCTCCCAGCCACTATGTAACAGGAGGGATTGGCTGTGTGAGCTGGATGTGGAAGGTTCTTTGCTCACCCCTGTGTCACAAGCACCAGAAACTCTGTGCCTGGCACATAACAGGTGATCAATGACTGAAGTTTGAATGAATGACAAAAGTAGAGGGTGGGGCTAGAGCAAGACAACCATCTGAAATGGCTTTCTTTTTTCTGAAATAGTGAAGTGAAATAGAATCATGTGAAATAGAATCACGACCTAGTTGGAAGAGGTCTTGGATTTCAGCGTGGATATATTAACTCTCTGGGTCACAGTTTTCTCATTTTTTCAATATGAGGTCTGTGAGCTTCAAAGAACCTCCCAAAGCTAACGTCCTAGAAAAAGGAATGGAGGTTTGACATTGGTTTTGTAGGGGGAAATTGCCCCTTTAGACAGAGTCCTCTGCAACCCACCTTTCTGCCAGCTGAGGGAGAGGTCTGATGGGGACCCCCTTTTGGTAGCACAGTGCCTTTATGCCTCTTATTCTTTCTTATTGTTTCTGGTTCTCATAAACTCAGAAGGAGCAGCTTCCCCGGGTTGGGGAAAAGGCAGAAGAAGCCTCATATTTACAAGTAGTTTTTTCTTGATTAGCAGAATAAAATGTATAACAAGTTTTGATATTGTCTACCTGGAGATAGCAAAAAAAGAAAAAATAAGTTTTGAGTTTATGTTTTGACAGCTCTTATAGTATTTTTTACCTCTGTACTTAGTAGAAATCCTGAAAATAAAGAGTTAACAATGAAAAATATGCACCCTTTATTCCTGATTTATAAACTTGTGTTTTGGGTTATTATACTTGCAGTATGAGACTTACAGAACTGTCAAAAATCACCATTTTACAGTTGATTTCTAAGGGATGACAGAGAGAATGTTTTTTTCTTCCTTCAAAGCCTCTGATGTATCTTTTTAAGATTAGCAACCAATAAAGCAACAGGGGTTTACTGAATATCTACTTTGTACTAGACTCTGTGGCACATGAAGAAGCTCAAAGCTTCAAAGAGATTTTAGTCTGGTTGCAGGGAAAGGACAGAAAATTGAGCAATCCAAATTTTAAGAACAATTTAAGAAAGTAGGAGACAGGTGACTCAAAGCAATCTGAGTATTTGATGTCATGTCAGTGGCACAGAATTCCAGGGATGGCCTTTAGCAAACACTGCTGGATGTTTCAGAGATGATCACAGACGGGGCACATTTGGGAATGCTTTGAGGAGCACGTGTGTTTGACCTGGATCTACAAGGCTGAGGGAGGCAGACAGAGAAGATATATTTGGCGCATAATTGGCGCTGTGATAGTTAGCAAGGTCTGGGACGATAACACCTGTCGGGCGTAGATGACAGGGTGACAGTCTAACCGCAGCCATTTAATTTTAACTGCCTCCCTAGCTGGCTTCATGGTGGGGGTGGGGCCACAGGTATCTGCACTTTGAGTGGATCTTGGAGTTCAGGGTCTGGTCTCAGCTTTACATCGGCTGTGTGTGATCAGTTCAGCCAAGCACAGGCAGAATCCAAGGGGTCATAACCAGACGGCTTCCTGTATTAATTTCCAAGAAACTTCAGGTGATGTTGATGCTTCGGATCCACAAGCCACAGTTTGAGTGGCAAGCTTCTAGAGCTGCGGTTCTCAAAGTGCAGACAGCAAGCAGGCATCACTTGGGAACATGTTAGAAATATAAATTTTGGGGTAGCCACCCACATCTACTGAATCAGAAACTCTGGAGGGTGGGGCCAGCAACCTGAGTTTAACAAGCCCTCCAGGCGGTGCTGATGCCCAGTGAGGGTGGAGAGCCACTGCTCCAGGGGAGACTTGCTGTCACTTGGTTGCATCCTCTCAATTTTGCACTCAGCACCTCCCTAGGTATTGCCGTATGAGGTGCCACTACTTCCCCTGTCTCTTCCTTATACTCCGTGCCTGCTGCCATCTCTTCCCTGGGCAGCTCCTGTGGGAAGAGGCTAGTCACATTTGCACTCCGTTTCAAGTGCCTGCTAGACTGTGGTTGGTTGTTCAAAGGCTCTGGTGGTTGCCCCTGTATAGATGTAGTCTTGTCCTTTGTACTTCCCATCAGCACGTGAAATCCACCCTCACTTCAAAGAGACATAAGTGAATGGCAGTAGCAATTTAATAGGCACTAACTTTAAGATAAAGGTAATATTTGTGTGTGTTTCTTAGAGGCTTGTGGGAATGCAAGCATTAGGCAGTACTGTGCTTACAATTCAGTTTCAGCGATGTTTATGCCAAAAGCCAAGCTTTGTCTGTTATTTGTGATCCGCCAAGCTCTGTGAGACTCTGACCGTTAGTCCCCATTTCACCCGAGAAAAGGGAACATAAACACATACACGCATTTTTTTTTTTTTTTTGAGACAGAGTCTCACTTTGTTGCCCAGGCTAGAGTGAGTGCCGTGGTGTCAGCCTAGCTCACAGCAACTTCAAACTCCTGGGCTCGAGCGATCCTTCTGTCTCAGCCTCCCGAGTAGCTGGGACTACAGGCATGCGCCACCATGCCCGGCTAATTTTTTTTTTTATATATATATCAGTTGGCCAATTAGTTTCTTTCTATTTATAGTAGAGACGGGGTCTCGCTCTTGCTCAGGCTGGTTTTGAACTCCTGACCTTGAGCAATCCGCCCGCCTCGGCCTCCCAGAGAGCTAGGATTACAGGCGTGAGCCACCGCGCCCGGCAGACACACACGCATTTTTGCATGCCTCGTGGGGTTGGTTCCAAGTGACAAGTAGCTGACAGGGGCTAACATAAAAATGGAAATTTATTTCCTGGATGTCAGGGTGTCTCTTACAGGGTCAGTTGGTTATGACAATGCATCTGGGCCTCAGCGTGGGTGAGAAGTAGGAGGCTTTTGGAACCCATTAGTCAGTGGTCTGCCTGTAAATGCTTAATACCCATCTTGATGGTGGGAGGGGCAGCCTTGATTTGTGGCATTTTCCAGTTTCTGTAGCATAAATACTCCCACCATGATGAATTTCAAGCTACCAATGGTTTAACAACTGGCTCAAAATTCTTGTAGTTTAACCATCTACTCTCCGAGCTGGCACCAGCCGGCTCTAGCAGATCACTGCCTTCTTTCAGCGTTTGTGCCTCTTCCCCCCTTTGCACAACCGCTTTTATTCTTTTCTTTTTCTGCACACTGACTTTTGCTGCTCCCATTTATGTTTAACATTGGCCCTGAAACCTAATCAATCTTAATACTCCAGAACGTCTTATAATTCTGGACACCTTCCATCTGCCCTTCAGTATGTTAAAAAAATTACAAAAGTCCTTAAAAAGAAGCCACTGTGAAACTTTGGAAAGATCTGTAGCTTGTCTTTAGATTGTCGGTGAATGTGACTCTCAGGTGATTTGAAAGGAGGCCCAGTCAGCGTCTGCTAGAGGGGAGAACCTGTGTAATTAGTTATTCCCTGAATGCTGTTGTAGGACAAGCTTTGCAAATGTTACTTCGTTTCACTCTTCACGCAACCCAGTGTAGTAGGTCTCTCTACTTCCATTTAGCAGGTGAGGAAACTGGAGCATAGGGAAGGTAAAGGGCAGGGCCTGCTGGCTGCTCCTGTCTGAATCAGAGCACACTCTACCCCTTCTACTCTCAGTGAGCTTGGACACCAAGAGATGGAGATTGGGCAGAAGGTTTCACACACTCTTCCCCCAAATCGAGGCTGCACTTTACATTCAGTCACTTATTGCTTGTCTCGCTCCATTTGGGCCGCTACAACAAATACACCGTGGACTGGGGGCTCAAACAACAAGCACTTATTTCTCACTGTCCTGGAGACTAGGAAATCCAAGCTCAAAGTGCCCAGGGTCTAGGGAGGGCCTGCTTGCTGGCCTGCAGGTGGCCATCATCTTTTTGTATCCTCACATGGCGGAGAACAGAGAGACAGAAGGCAAGCTCACGTGTCTCTTCTTATGAGGGCACTAATCCCAGCATGAGGGCCTCACCCCAACTCTAAATACCATTGCATGGGGCATTAGCTTCAACATAAGAATTTTGGGGGACACAACCATTCAGTCCATAGCATCATCTTCCTGCTTCTACTCTCTGGCTGGGAATTTTCTGATGTCCAAAAGATCAAGAACCCAGAGGGGCCTTGCAGACTCATTGACTGGGGGGGAGGGGGAGGGGAGGGAAGATTGTCTGCAGCTGAGTCCAATGAGAACACCAGGCTCATCCCTCTAAGGGCAGGGTATTGACTATTTTTATTACTTTTCCCCAAGCAATGATTATATCCATGGTAAATCTAGTTGTAACTTAGTTTTGCCTCATTGGTGTACAGAGTAACAGAGGTCCCCTGATCTGTGGAGGCACAGGTATTGGGAAGGTAAGCAGAATTCCTAAACAAAGGGCTTTAAGCAAGGAAAGTGCAGAGGTGACTCCTCAGTGAGATGCGTTAACCTTCCAGGACTGGGCAGAGTGTGCTTGACCTGCCTGTGAGAAGGTCATGGCTCCAAATAAACATTTTCCCACAAAACGAGGAACTGAATCCAGGAGTGTCTAACTCCCAGACACAAAACAATGTGCACAAAGCGCACACTTTGGAAGGATTTGAGCTGCACTGAAGGTAGATGTCAGAGCGAGACTCTAACCTTGGCCTATTAGATTTTGTACCTTTCCTTGTCCTTGTCCTGCCCGTGCTGAGGTGTAGCAGCCAAAGTGAAATTAGGCAGGGGGCCCAGAAAGTGCTGCTCTCATCCGGAATCACATGGATCTGCCTCGTCTTGGAGGTGAGACGTTGGGAATGGCTTGAAAATAGCGCTCAGGCTGCCATGTGACTTGTGGCCGTGGATCTCCGTAGGCCTGGTCTCTCTGGCATCTCTTCCGTCCCCAGTGACATGGGATTCATCTGCATCTCTCATTCACACGTGGCAAGTGTGTAGCCCCAGTGGTATTCATGGCCCTTGTGTTTAAGGTCCTGTCCTCAAACTGTGGCCGGGAGACCAGGCGGTCATGGTCAGATGGGAGGAAGGAGTACCTCTGACCCACGGTCCCGGCATCAGTGGCGGGAAGGTGAAGTCAGAACTGTGTCTGTGATGAGGCTTCAGGTCCTGCTGCGAGACTGTGTGCCCATAGGCCGCTGCATTCAGTGTGGGAGGGCGAGTGCAAGCACTGGGGCCTCACTGTGGAATGCAAACAGGTAGAACAGCAGGAGAGCATGTTAGAGATCCAAAAAGAGGAATCACAGGCTCCAAAGATGGCGCTAGTGCACCTGGCTAGGTGTTCACATGCTCTTAGCACATGTTTACATGGACAAGTTGGAGCCCTACCAAGGCCCTGGGAACAGGGTTCTGCCTGGAACGTGTGTGAGGCATTGTGACCAGGAGGCCGCCAGGGGGCCTGTGGAAAGGAGCAGGGGGCCCTGCAGAGAGTGCCCAGCTCTGGGCTGCGAGAGGCATTCCCAGCGCACTTGTTTGTTCCAGATCCTGAGGATGAGTGCTTGCTCCTGCTACTCCTCTTTGGAGAGGGTGACGTTGACCAATGGGAAAGTCTACTTAATTCAGTCTTCGAATGGGTTTATTCTTTCATTGCTCTCCTAAGGTCTTAGGGTTCAGCTTTGTAAATCACTGCCTTGTAATCCAGTCTTCCTAAATAAGCTTAAAGTGAAAAACATCAAATGAATTGATGTATAATTATCTGACTGTGAAAATAAGCCTGTTACAAGAATCGGTCCATAGCATGTTGTGGTTTTTTTTTTTTTTGAGACAGAGTCTCACTTTGTTGCCCAGGCTAGAGTGAGTGCCGTGGCATCAGCCTAGCTCACAGCAACCTCAAACTCCTGGGCTCAAGCAATCCTGCTGCCTCAGTCTCCCAAGTAGCTGGGACTACAGGCATGCACCACCATGCCCAGCTAATTTTTTCCATATGTATTAGTTGGCCAATTAATTTCTATTTATAGTAGAGACAGGGTCTTGCTCTTGTTCAGGTTGGTTTCAAACTCCTGAGCTCAAACGATCCGCCCGCCTCGGCCTCCCAGAGAGCTAGGATTACAGGTGTGAGCCACCGCGCCTGGCCCATAGCATATGATTGTATTATCTTTTCTTCTCCCTGGCAGCCTAGTGAAATCGCTTTAAGAAGCATCACATTGGGTAGATTTCAATAGTTATTACTTCTCAAGTTGAAAATTCTGCAAGAACTGGCTTATACCACCGTCTTACTGGCTCCATTGCCTCTGTTCTGAGACTCTCGTGTTCCTGCCACTGGAATTATAATTCGAATGAACAGATGAATAAGTAGAAATTTACTGAGTACACATCATGCTCCGTCCTCTTTCTTAGCAACTTGGAGGTAACATTGCTTTCCCTTTACAGATGAGAAAATCACAGTCTGGAAAGGTCACATTACTTATGATCATACAGCCAGTGAGTAGCGGAAACAGATCTAGATGCTAGGTCCATTTATCTCTGAATCATATGTTTCTCTGCCACAGTGTTCTACCTCCTGGAATTTACTAACCACTTTTCTTGTCCCAGCACTAGTGCTGTACACTTTCATGGTCATTATCTCATAAACCCATCCTTATAGCAAACTTAATGATGTGGGTACTCATTCTATAGATAACGTAAAACTGAAGCTAAATATATTACCTAACCTGCCCAAGGTCGTACAGAGGGCAAGATCTGTGCTCTCTTTAAAGAGTCTATTAATTGGAAGAGCCGGGGAGAGATGGAATGTCTCACTTCAGAAAGAATATGTATTCTTTTTATAACCGAAGCTGAAAGCCACACCAATGGACGTAGGCTGGTAGGTAGGAGGAGAAATGTGTAGAGAAAGGATTGATGGTGTTCCCACCAGCTGCCCATTCCTAATGAGATGCCTGAGCAAATTATATGGACAGAGGACAATGGCTGGCAACTGAACACTTTTATTCCTAAGCAAAATATCTGGTGTCGACTAATAGAGATCAAGGTTGGACGGGACAGAGACTTCCTTCTGCCCAGGCTAGAGTCAGGAGGGAGCACAAGTCACAGGTGGTCCTGCTAAGGCTGGAGCCGAGCTTGCCAGCACCATGGGAGACAGGGTCAGAAAAGGGAGAGACAGGTGGCTGAACTTCCTTTCAAGAGGGAGAAGCCATTGGGTTCCTGACTATTCTATGCGGAAGGGGAATGCCCAGAGACAGAAAACAGCCCCGTGATTTCTAACTGTCCGTGATTTCTAACTGTCCGGGTGGGAGGAGTACCATGAGTCACAGCACTGATATGCAGTCTGCATATTGGTCTGCGTATTTAACACGTTTACACCTGCGGGGGTGTTTCGTAACTTAGCCTTGTCCCGGTCCTTGATTGCTATGGCAGTAAACACGTGGCATGAAATGACTGAGGTATATACCTCCGGTTCCCTTATTTCAGGCTTGGTTTAGAAAGAGGGGAAACAGCTAAAGAAGCCTTAGATGTCATCGTCTCCCTGTTGGAAGAACACGGACAAGGTGGGAATTACTACGAGGATGCAAGCTCCTGCCACAGCTTCCAGAGTTCATATCTCATTGTGGATCGCCACGAAGCCTGGGTGCTGGAGACCATAGGGAAGTACTGGGCTGCCGAGAAAGTCACAGGTGAGTGGGTGTGGATGGTGAGGAGCTTTCAGGACAGAAAGGCCAAGATGGGTGTTGCCCGGACACAAGTGCAGCGTCAGACGGAGAGCGGCCATGCTGCTGCTGCTGCTGCAGCCACGGACCTTCTCCGTGCCGGGTCTTCGTGCCTCTCCTTTCTGGGCATCTGCGTCCAGGGAGGAGCCGGGAGTCTCCTGAACCTGGAGTGAAGGGGTGGCGACACTTGGGAAGCAGCACGTTCCTAACATTTCAGATTTTCTCTTTGCTTTCTGGGAAGCACCCAGTTTTGACTACCAGGAGTTCCACGACTAAAACCACCACTCTATTAACTGGCCGAGGGAGTGGCAATTCTTCTTTCACAACAGAGCAACAAATCCCCTCCCCGGGGGCTCCCCCTTGCCGTCACTCCCAGCCCTGTAGATCTTTGTGCTGGGAATGGTCCCGTAGAATAGGAGCTTGGATCCGTGTGAGGACCATCCAGTGCCAGTCTGGGCCCTCAAGGCCATTGCTCTGTGAGACAGCGTTCCTTGAAGAGCAGAGGACTAGGTGATCCACCCAGTAGGATTCAGTGCCCATAAAACTGCTGCTCTGTGGCCCTGCAGCATCATGCCTCTAGGACAGCGCTGGAAGGAAATGCCCGGGATGGGAAACCCAGAAGGGGTTAAAGGGCTTCCAAGAGGACTAAGTAGTTCTAAGAATCAGCCAGTGGCACTCCTATTACATTCCTTAGGACTGGGTGATAAACACATGATGTGTGTGCCCCACTCACTCTCACCTCCTGTGCTCATGGCAGACATGGCTAGTAGATCACAGCACTCTTCTCTTGTTGAACCTATACTTGGCCTATGTATTTTTCTTAACCAGATTTACCAGAGAGTCTCTTGCCAATTCATCAGAAATGATGTTAGGGATGAAACCTGTTCGCCATCCCTGCCTTAGGGGTAAATGGAACCAAATTTGACCTGAGTTAGAAGCAGAAGATCTGCAGTAGTTGGGAATCAAGACTGTTTTCTGCGTACAAAGTTAGTCCAGTGATCAGGGCCTCTCTGGATGGTGGGAATGTTTGTATCATGTATAAAACTGCCCCACTAAGACAGTGAAATCTAGACTGTGGCTTCCTGGCCAAGCTAGGGGAAGGCTGTGTCTGCCTGGGGTTGGGGGTGACTGCTTCTCATGGTCACAGGGTGCAGAATGGGCTAGCAGTGCCCATCAGCAATTAGAGTTGCTCCACTCTCCTGTGCCCGGCATACGCCACCAGGGCTTGCCCAGTCCTTACAGTGTTTGTAGTGTGGCCCACCAGGTCTCCAGCTCTCCTGTGATGCAGAAACTTAAAACTCCTTTATAAAAAACCCTCCTAAGATGAAGTCTGACTGTTGAATGGTTCCATCAAAAGGGCCAGTAGTCCATGCTTAAAAGCAGTCTTACTACTTTTAAGTAGAACCTAAAACTTTTTGATCTGTAACTGCATTTCAAAAGCTGAGCTTCCCTTCAAGATATGGCTTAAAAAAATCCATCTCCACAAGATGAATGTTATCTTTCACTAAATATTTAAATGTCAAAAACCCCTAGCCATTTCTTAGACCCATTGATTTCATGTCCTTTGATCCCAGCACCAACGTGGTTGACTGCAGGAGGATTTAATGCACGGTGTCCCCAAATGCTAACAGTCTTGAAAGCAGATGTCTACTATAAATCAGCCCTCTTGGAAGATAACATTTGTGGAGTTGTTCACAAGAGTATTTTTTTTCCCAAAGACTGTATTTCCAAATAAGAGTATTTTTTTAAAGCTTGGTATATGAATGATGTCAAAATCACATGTTTAGGCCCAAACTGATTTTTATTTTGTAATTATTTATAATTTTACTTTTATGGTAGAAAGTAAAGGATGAATGGCAAAGGACCAGTGCCCATCAGCCAGGAATGCTTATTTTGGAAGTATAAATCAGGGAAGCAAAACATATGGAAAGAACTCAGCCCAGCACTGATCCTGCCTCTAGGAACTGGTTTTCAGGCAGTGATGACTTCATTGTTGCTTGTAGCTGGGCTCTCTGTCTCTTTCACTTCATTTTCCAAGAGTTTGGAAGATCATCATGCTCCTTGGAAGCAGCACAAGTGAATGGCCCTTTTGAGCTAGCACTGATAACTTCTTAGTGTTTGCATTCTGGACAGCATCCTGAAGCTTGAAGGCCAAGTTGCCCTGTGTGTTTTTGCAGCTCAGGCTTTGGAGAAGACATAGCTAGCAAGCCTGCCAGCTGATGCAATTTCAGACCCAAACCCTCATTCATCAATGTGGAATGTACTCAGAATGCAGGCATTTCTGATTCTGGATTTATTTAGTTACAGTTCTATTTTTATGAGAAAAAAATTCCCATAGATTTTCCTCTCTCTCTCACACACACACACACACCTGGACATACGTATATGCTTGAATACATTCTGTTATTTTAAAACGGTTCATTATCATTGTCACTATGTTTTTCTAAATGTTGAGACCTGAAAAAAAAAAAGTTGAATGAAGAAGTATTCGATTTGTATTTTTAAAAACCACATATACTTGGGCAGGCGGTGGTGGTACATAGTGTTTTTCCAGGTGAAAAAGAATCAGACTGGGGAGGAGGAATCTCAGTAGATGCTGTAGAGCAGAAGTCCCCAGCGTTTTTGGCACCAGGAACCAGTTTCATGGAAGACGATTTTTCCACGGACTGGAGGGTGGGGGCGGGATTGTTTCAGGATGATTCAAGCGCATGACATTTATTGTGCAGTCAAACCTCTCTGCTAATGATAATCTGTATTTGCAGCCGCTCCCCAGGGCTAGCATCACCGCCTCAGCTCCACCTGAGGTATCAGGCATTAGATTCTCATAAGAAGCACTCAGCCTAGATCCCTTGCATGTGCAGTTTGTGGTAGGGTTCAAGCTCCTATGAGAATCTAATGCTGCCGCTGATCTGACAGGAGGCGGAGCTCAGGTGGTGATGCGAATGATGGGGAGGCTGTAATTACAGATGAAGCTTTTGCTCATTCCCCCGCCAACCCCTGCTGCTCACCTCCTGCCATGTGGCCTGGTTCCTAACAGGCCACGGACCAGCACCAGTCTGCAGCCTGGGGTTTGGGATCACAGCTGTAGAGCATTGCTGTGGAGGACTAGCATCTCCCCAGAGGAACCTCTCACAGATTTCTAAGTCTTGTTAGCGCAATACCTCTTTCAAAGAACCTTTCCCTTTTTTTGGTAAGTAATGGATGCTTGGAGTTTATTTAGCCATATTTCTGGTTACAAATTTAGCCATATTTCTGGTTACATATTTCTGATTACAAATTTAAGATCAGCAAAGTGATCATTGCTCATTTAAAATGTGATAATGCCACGGTCAGGACTGGTTATACCTTTTAGGACCTCTCCTAGAGAGAAGACCAAGGATTGTGTGTTTCTCTCTTCAGAAATTAAATTGATTCTTCCTTCCCTGTAGTTAAAGTCAGGGTTTTAGGGTAACGGTAAATTTCCATTTCTTTATTAAGCCTTTGTAAGTGTGTTTTCAACTAACTGGGCTTTGCGCTCTCTGCAGAGGGAGTGAAGTGCATTTGCAATCGGCTTTCACTCACCACTAAGATGGATGCAGAGCATCCTGAACTCAGGAATTATGCTCAGAGTCAAGGTTGGTGGACGGGAGAGGACGAATTCAATTTTTCTGAAGTTTTTTCTCCAGCTGATGATCACCCAGACTGCTGTGCAGGCAAAGACAGCTTAGAAAAACAAGAAGGTGAGTTAGTCAATCCCTGCCATTCTCCTTCTCAAACCCTTTGTCTTGCAAATATTTCAGAGAACTTGTCTGAACTTAGGAGGGTGAACAAAGAAGAGGGGGTAGTGTGAATAGACCTTGTATGTAGAGACCAGCTTGTGCTAGAAGTCCTTCATGTGCAGGCAAGAAGACAACTCATTTTTACATGGTGCTTCCCATCCATGGAGCTCTCCCGCTCTCACCAATGTTATTCTCCATTAAACACGAGATGTCATTGGGTTGTCTATTGTGATACTTATTGCAGTCTCCTTAAACCTCAGTATTTGCATATTTGGCTTATCTTCTCCCTGTATTTTCCTCTTACCTGTCCCACTAGACTGCTGGGCCTTGGAAGGCAGAGGTGTTGCCTTTTACACACCTTAGGATCCCCTTGTGATGCCTGTATAGTCGTTTGTTCATGAACATTTGTTGAGTTGAATTGTTGAATTGAATTCTTTTCGCAAGCCCTCTACTTGCTACCCGATTTCTGACCTAATCAGAATCCATATTTAGGTAAAGGTGGTGACTAGATAGCTTGGTACTTTTATGCCTATGTGGAAACCCTTCCAAAAACCCCACAATGTTCACATTTTATATTTGCTAGTGATACATATATTTCATAAGTCAAACTTTTGATCCTTTAGACTAGGAGTCAGCAAACTATGAAATGTTGGCAGCTGCCTGTTTTGTAAATAAATTTTATTGGAATACAGCCACACTAAATTTTTAATGTATCGTCTAGGGCTGCTTTTGTGCTATAATGGCAGAGTTGAGCAGTTGCAATGGGCAAGTTTTGATGGAGACTGTCTGGCCCATGATTTATTCTCTGTTTTTTTAAGAAAAAGTTTCCTAACTCTTGATCTAGAACACTTTAGGACTTTTGCTGTAGTCCTTAAGTAATCTATTTTAAGTAGAAAGGTAATAAAGTGCTTATTTTTAAAATGAGAACTTAAAAAAAATCTCTGAAGTTTTTAATTTAAAAAAACTAGCACGATGAAAGTTATTTAATATTCATGCCAAAACATCAACCCTAAATCTGTTGCAACCTTTGGATTTATCTACTAACTTCAGGAAATACAGAGGATGGAGGAACATATTAAGTTCCTCCACACAGGGATGCCATCTGCAAAGCCCAGATTGTGGAAAATTCTATGGGAAAAATGACTGAATTTCTCTTACAGATAGGATGCAAGGGCAAAAAACAAGAGGCAGAGATTAAAAGAGATATTAAGAGACATTATCAACCTATTGGATTCTGATTTAATTCAATAAGCTTATTTATGAGACTGAGGAAATTTGAACACTGAATAGTTGAAGCAATCAAGGATTTATTGTTAATATTTTTAGGTATGACAGGTTATAAATAGAGATTTACAAAGAGGATATGAGTTGTGCTAGCAAACCTCTTCCTTATGTGATGCTGTGATTTCATCTTTGTGAACACAGACCGAAATATTGTTTAAATGAATTATAACCAGAGGGAAAAATGTAAAAATGGGATCCCCTGTAATCAAGGATTTGTTTGTCCATTTACCTGTGGTCAGAACCAGTAGTCCTAATGGCTCTGAACATTCTAGATGCCTCTCTGTGTGTATTTTTCCCACTGCAGAGAGGCCATTCTCCAATATACTATTGACACTGATGGGGAGAGAGCTTGGTGGACTGTGGATCAACTGCACATACTTTCTCATGGCTTTCTGTTGAGTTAATGCATTGGTTGAGGTATAGCTAGAACAAAGATACTCCAAATTAATGTGTCTTAAAGAAAATGGAAGATTATTTCTCTCTTATGTTATAGTTGAGTATTTATGCACAGTCCAGGCTTGGTTACTCTGTCTCAGCACAGGACTTCTGTTTCTGGTCCACTTGTTGGCATCTCCCAGGCAGTAGGAAGGGAGAAAAGAAAAGTAAGGGGCAAACCATTCCTTTTTAAAAGTTGAAGACATCATTTTTGCTCACCTCTCATTGGTCAAAATTTATCACATGACTACAGCTACTCCCAAGGGAAGCTGAGAGATACATTCTGTAGTTTGGTAGCTACATTCTCAATTATAATTTCAGGGGTTTTATTCCTAAAAAGAGCAAGAAGTGAATAGATTTGGGTTAGTAGCCTGCCATGGTAATATTTCCTCTTTCCATCTCTCTTCTGTTTTTTTTTCTTTTTACAGAAAGTATCACTGTGCAGACTATGATTGACGTCTTACGGGACAAAGCCAGTGGAGTCTGTATAGACTCCGAATCTTTCCTCACCACAGCCAGTACAGTGTCTGTCCTGCCTCAGAATAGAAGCTCACCGTGCATTCACTACTTCACTGGGACCCCAGACCCTTCCAGGTTTGTCTGAGACACAGCCATGCCGGCAGGAAGCCTGTGCTTCCCTTGAAAGCTCATTCAACAAGCGTGTGTTAAGTTCGGGGCCATGTCCTCTGCTCGGAGAGCAAAGTCACATTTGTCCGTCAGCCCCAGTGTGGGCAGTGTAGCACAAAGAGCTTTGATTAAGTGAAGTCCTTGGCTTTAGTCACACAGTATATTATTACAAGCGTGAATCAAACTGTTGCTTTAGATTCATCAAGTATTTATTGAGTAAATGTCATGGGCCAAGCATTTTGCTGTAGATGAGGGATATGGAGATGAGCGAAATGCAGCCAGACGGACAAATACGGGAATGCCTAAGGTTTATCTAACAACCGGTCCAGAGGCAATAGAGATGGAAGCAACTTCAGTGTTCTGGCCACTTCTTTATGGCATCGTGTTTTAGGGATTTGCTTTCTGCCCATGAACTTCAGCCCAGAGGCAGTATTACACAGTGGTAAAGAACAAAGCAACTGGGCCAGGCGCGGCGGCTCACGCCTATAATCCTAGCAATCTGGGAGGCCAAGGCTGGTGGATTGCTCTAGGTCAGGAGTTCGAAACCAGCCTGAGCAAGAGCAAGACCCCGTCTCTACTATAAATAGAAAGGAATTAATTGGCCAACTAACATATATATAGAAAAAATTAGCCGGGCATAGTGGTGCATGCTTATAGTCCCAGCTACTCGGGAGGCTGAGGCAGGAAGATCGCTTGAGCCCAGGAGTTTGAGGTTGCTGTGAGCTAGCCTGAGGCCATGGCACTCACTCTAGCCTGGGCAACAAAGTGAGACTCTATCTCAAAAAAAAAAAAAAAGAACACAGCACCTGGAATGAACTGCCAGGATTTTGAATCCCACTTCTGTCCACTCAGGAGCAGGATAATTTATTAATACTTAACCTCTCTAAGCTTCGGTTTCAGTATCTGTGCAGTGGGGATAATGCTAGCCCCACCTTCACATGGTTTGGGGAGGATTACATAGATAATCCAAGTAGGTTTAACTGTCATTTATGAAGACTATCTCTGATCTAGCAGGCAGACAGCTGCTCCTCTCCCCAGTAACATTCAGTCATGCATACCTCAAATCACAGCATCAGTAGCTCAGAACCAACCTTCCAGTGGTTTCTAAATCTAGTCACCGTTAGAATCACTTGGGGGAGTTTTTGAAAAATACAGATGCCTTTACCTAACCCTCTTGTATCCGAACCTTTGAGGTAGACCTAGGAATCTGTCAGGTAAGTCCGATCCTCAGCCTGCAAAGCTCTAGAAGACTACTCATTCCAGTGGGCTCTCTGGTGTTTTTCAGGTTTGTTTACTTGTCAGCTATGAAACCTTTGAATCTGCTGCCAGGGAATCTGCTGCTGTTAAATTTCATTCTTTTTGCAGCTGAACATATTTATCCTCTTCTCACTGTTTCAGGAATATAAGACAATGATTGTGTATAGCTAGGGGTGGGTCTTAGATGACTTGGGGGAAAAGCCACGCACCTCTTATGACCCTGTGGCCTGATTTCTTAAACAGCTGCCGATATCAATAGATCCTTCTAACAAGACCTGACTGTTGAGCTCCTTGTAAGCTACTCTTAGGTTTCCATCCACTCATTCATTCAACAAACACTTATTAAGCACCTACTGTGTACCAAATATTGTGCTTGTTGGGTACCAGGGATGAGGGGTGTAAAAGGAAAAAGATGTCACATGTTTGATGATGGAGGGGCAAACGTCACAGAGGAAAGGGCTCTTGTGCACTGGGCTTTGTAGGAACAGTAGGAGTTTACTAGGTACAAAAGCAGGGATAACACTCAGAGTAGAGAGAGTCACATGTACAAAGGCAGAGAGGCATGAAACAGCATGACCCAGGGCGACATCTGTAGGTGACGTTGGGGATTAGGTTTCCATCCCTCCCTACCCCCAGCCCTCCACTACACAAGCCCAGCCGTGAGCCTCACCACTCAGAGTGTCCCCGGAAACCTCAGGATGCTCGTCCCATTTCATTCCAGTTGCTTCCTCTTGATTTTATCTCCCAGGTCTGAAGCTTTGGTTCCACGGCCCCACCTTCCACTCACTGTTTGGTCCACCAGATATGGGGCTCCTCTCCCAGGTGTTGGGCCCCCTCCTCGTGGACTGTGGCACAGCTTGCTCCCCTGATGCTGATGGCTCAGCTGCCCCGGGAGGACCCTGCTGGCCTGCAGGGGACGGGTGGGCATTCAGAGTTCTATTTTGGAGGGAATCCTCTGCTAAAGTATGTGGATACTGTTCTTTAGGGAACAGGAGCCTTTCATGGAGTGGGTTGAACTGAACCAACTCCTGTTGTCCCTGATGTCTCAAATACCAGCTCCAACTGTGCTTCAGAGACAGGGCTCTGTGAGGCCAGCACACTGATATAAAGGGGTTCTGTTTCCTAGGCTGCAGTGCACAGCCTAATCCAATTATAGAAACGGGCTGGGAAATAGCCTTCTGATATTTAAAATGGAAAATTTCAAGTAATCTTAAAAGAAAATTATTCACGGTTAAATTAATTGAAAGGACCTTGTAGAAGATGAAGAACCTTCTGGAAGACATTCATTTTTATACTTCATGGTTAAATAAACTGCATTTCCTACTATGTAGAACTGTCAGAGGGTATTTTTTTTTTCTATTTAACATTTCAATGTTTCTGTGTAATTAGGCATGTTCAACATATTGTATTTTGTCAGCAGGAACCATAATTACCTTCTCTTTTAGGTAGTAAAATTAAGGAGATTTTAGCTGGCTTTTGCTAATGCTAAAAGTATTAGAGAGATATTTTCAGAAGATTGTTTCATAGCAGTGGACTTGTAGAAGATTATGATCACAGAGCAGAACTGCAGTATTTATCCCTACCAGTTAATGTTAGAACCAAAGGACATGATGTTACTATCGTTCAGTCTGCCTGGGCACTTCTCTGTCCTTTGCGTACTGTATTATAGATCTTTTCCTTGAAATAACTGGCTTTCATGTCTTTCATTTCTTTTCTTTTTTCTCTTCCTTTTCTTCTCTTCTCTTTTCTTTTCTTTTTTTTGAGACAGAGTCTCACTTTGTTGCCCAGGCTAGAGTGAGTGCCATGGCATCAGCCTAGCTCACAGCAACCTCAAACTCCTGGGCTCAAGCGATCCTACTGCCTCAGCCTCCCGAGTAGCTGGGACTACAGGCATGCACCACCATGCCCGGCTAATTTTTTGTATATATATTTTTAGTTGGTCAATTACTTTCTTTCTATTTTTAGTAGAGACAGGGTCTTGCTCAGGCTGGTTTTGAACTCCTGATCTCGAGCAATCCACCCGCCTCAGCCTCCCAGAGTGCTAGGATTACAGGTGCAAGCCACCATGTCCCGCCTTTTTTTCCTTTGAGACAGGATCTCACTCTGTCACCCCGACTAGAGTGCTGTGGCATAGTCATAGCTCACAGCAACCTGAAACTCCTGTGCTCAAGTGATTCTCCTGCCTCAGCCTCAGGAGTAGCTGGGACTACAGGTACACACCACCATGCTCAGTTAATTTTGCTATTTTTTGTAGAGATAGGTCTCACTCCTGCTCAGGCTGGTCTCGAACTCCTGACCTTGAGTGATCCTCCTGCCTTGGCCTCCCAGAGTGGTAGGACTGCAGGTGTGAGCCACCGCGCCCAGCCTCACATCTTGTTTTTCTCTTCCTTCTTTCCTACCTCCCTCCTACTATGTGCCAGGTACTATGTAAGTTTGGTACTATTCCATGGAGTCAGCTGGTACCCCAGTTATTTATATAGTGCCACCAGTTGGCTTTAGTGTACTGATTCTGACCTTTAGAAACCATTTCCTAAAAAGCCAGTGCTTGTTAAAGCTTCACTGATGTGAAGAATTAGAGAGGGAAAGACTGGAGAGGTACCTGGGCACCATGAGACAGGTGGATTCAGGCTCACAGTGTGCCGGAGCCAGGCAGAGCTGGTTGTGTGCATCTCTTCCCAGCTCCATGTTCGGTGATGTCGGCAGCTTGAAATGGGCTGCAGTGGGGTGTTTACACCACAGAAATTGGCAAACACTGTAAATCCGGGCATATTTTTTTCAGAGGTATAGTTGTTAGACCAGTACAGCACTGAGAGGCCCCCACATCTAGGAAAGTACACAAATACTCAAGATACAGGATGGGCAAACCAAAAGAGAGAGAGAAGATAGAGGAAACTCTAGGAAAATATGGTATTTGATCTACTTTAACTAGTAGCAGAGTACAGGGGAGATTCAAGGGACATAGTCTCTCTCTCTCTCTCTCTCTCTCTGAGTTTTCTTTGCTTCCTCCTCTTTCTTGTCTCCTCCTCCCATATACTAGCATTGGGAGACTAAATTGGATTGGCCAAGACTGTATGATCTGAATAATTCAAGTGTTAGCAACAGGTGGCACCTTTTCGTTACTGGAGAAGCCATTGTGAGCCTTGGACACTTATGCATAAGTGGCTGCAACTTACACAGCCTTTGGGGCCACATGGGGCACAGCCTGCACAGATACACACAGAGCCCAGGGCCCTCGGCAAAAATGGCATTCCCCCCTCCAATTTCACTCTGACTTCTTCCAGCACCCTCCCTCTCTTCTCTCCGCCCTGTACTTTCAACTTTTCAAAACCTCCCACGGCATCTGGATCCGGCTGCTCTCCCTACACTTGCTCCATGCTCCAAAAGTGCAGGCTCTCTTTCCCTTCAAAATTGAAACTCCCTTCACAGATCAGTTCTGTTCTCATCCAGGTATGACTTTGACAGTCTGATTAGAGTGACTCATGGTGAAGCTGGAATGATGCATAGATGAATTGCTTAGAGGGACGCCTGCGTTTTTGAAGAGAAACTGGTTATTACAGATTCTTTTCAGATTGGTTCAAGGTTTAGCAGATTCCTCAGAGCGGTTGCCTTTGTGCTGTTCCTTTCCTGCCTAGCCCCCCTGAGTAGACTTGCCAGGAACGGCAGGGCACAGGATCAGCTGGTTTAGTCGCTCGGGGAGTTCCTGCATCTTCAGTAAGAACAAAGCCATGTTGGAGGACAGAACTGTTGGCTGGCCACTGGACTAAAATTCCAAATCCTAAAGCACAAGAAGTATCTTAGTTTTCTGCAGTAGCATGATATGTATGAAAAAAACAACAGAAGGTTATAAGGGTGAGCAGAGGTTATAAGGGAAAACTGACCCTGCATTTAGAAGATCTGAATTTAGTTCTAGATCTGCCACTTATTAGGGACGTGACTTTGGACAGAGCACTTAGCTTCCTTGTGGGCCTCCGTCATCTCATATGTAAAATGAGACAGAAGGTTTTGCCCTGCCTTGTCCACTGCTATATCTCTAGTACCTAGAACAGTAGCTGGTACTCAGTCAGGACTCAGCACATATGTACGGAATGAATGAATAAGAGTACTGTGCGAATTGAATGCAAACACTCTGAAAATTATGCTGTGCTATAAAATGTTAGAGCTTTTCATGATGATGTTGCTGTTCTTCCAAAATGAGAAAACAAATGATTGCAAACAGAGATTTTGCACTGGCTGGGTGCATCCATCACAAAGTTTTAGAAAGAAAAAAGGACAGATAAGGCTACAGGGCCTCCAGTGGAGCATGTTTTCTTGGCTGTGCCTCAAATTGTCACTCACGGCTGAAATTCTGCAGATCCCAGAGGCAGGCCATGGAAGCCCGTGCTGTGCTTTGTGTCGTGACACTGTGTGCCTCTGCCCTAGATTTGTCTCTGAGAGAGCTGAAGGCTAGAGGGATGGGGCTTCCTCCTTTAGTGTTGCTCGTGGTGGTCTCATTGGCTTAACTGTCCCTCATGAGGGTCCCTTTAAAGTAGCTCAGCTAGTTCTAGCCTGCTCATTTACCAGCTGCCGGGCTGCCCTTGCCTTCGGAAGCACTTTTCTGGGCCTGTCACCTTGTATTCTTGCCGTACTACACCATGGAGGCTGCGGAGTGACTAGGGCATATTCCTAAGCCGGTGACTTTTCTGAAGGTCAGTCTGAGAGTCAGTTCCGAGGGCAGAAGCAAAGTCAATCTTCTGGAGCCTTCTCAGCCGTGACCCACATCAGAGCCATCCCGGGACACTCTGGGGCGCCCCAGGTGGGTTGGATCCGCTTGGGTGTACCCGCTAATTGGCGTATTCATTCCAGTGGCCAAATTTAAGAAGCTACCATCTGTGGGTCAGCTGTGGGAAAATGTCTATTTGGAATTTTAAATGTGATTTTGAAAAAGGATTGGGAAGAAATCAGCACATTTGGGAACTCCTGAGCTATCTACATTCCCCTTTTCTGGATACATAGACACAAGTGATCAAACCTGAATCATAGATAATCCCCACGCCTTGGCTTAAATATTAATATTATTATAGTTATGATCAGTAATAACTTTTATTAATATTTATATAATTATTTTAGAGAATCTTATTATTTATATAATTTATTCAGTTTTAGACAATCTCCCTTTAACCACCCTGACAAATTTATGCTTCCTTTTTTTTTTTTTTTTATCAGTTTAGTTGCTGACTTCCTTACACACTTTGAAAAAAGATCCTTGGAGAGCTTTGAGTGCTTTAGAATATTTTGAGAACTTCCTCATATTGCTTCTTCTTTTTTTTTTTTTTAAATAAAATTGATAGATGGGAGAGATAAACATATGGTACCTCTTATCTTAGAAAAGCCACCAGACACCCTCACTGATTAAACTCACGTCCACATTCCAGTGAGTGTGGATGGGTTTGGAGTCACGTCACTGAGAGTCGTCAGCTGATACAGTGCTGTTGTCCTGCGTATGGGATGTCAGAGACCAGGATCTTGGTTACTGTGAGCTGACTGAAGTTGGAGCCACAAGTTCACAAGCCTCATGCATAGAAATAGGAATAGGAATAGAAATAGGTATAGACTCGTTTTAGAAGCTGGAAGGGACCACAGAGATCACGCTGGGGCAGACGCGCGCAGAGGGAAAGACAGCCACGCCGAGTCCAACCCAGTTCCCTCCCCCCACTGCCAGGCTGTCCCCTTCCAACCTCCTTGGTGTGGTTCTCTCCAACAAGGTCCTATGTCAGAAGAGTCCTGAGACACAAAATAGGGAAAACACTGAGGTTTTAGGAATGAAATGGCAGGTTTTGTGGTGAAGACATCACTCCCAGGTGGGCTTTTGAGCAGTAGAAAAAGGGGTGTGGTGGGAGGGTGTAGAAGTAGCATCGCATGTGGCCTGGGGTGGGGTGGAAAATGAGGGAGAACTCTCAGCCAAGGCTCCGCAGGTTCCGCTGGAAACCACAGTTCCCTCGGCTGCCAGGTGTTGAGCATGCACCTGTCCCGCTGTGAAGCCTACAGCCCAGGTGGGAGCCAGGGCTCGGCCCGGTTCTGCCCGGTGCAGAGCCCTGGAACTGAGAAGGTGTGAACTGAACGGGCTGTGGGCTGCTAAGCAGGAGCTCTGGGCCTGTCTCCCACCAAAGGGTCCCTGTACCTGCCAAGGAGGCTGCTGACCATGGTATAATATGCACTGACTGTTCAGGAAAGCTGGTGCTGTCTGGCTGGGAAGGACAGGACAATTGCCGCTGGAAGGCAGCTGGTTCTGGATGTCTAGAATGCTCTTTCCCTCCCCACCCTTCCTCTTTCCGTGAGCCCTCAGTCTGCAGCCCTTTTGCAGAATCAGCTGTTTCACTAATTAGAGAATTCAACTTCATGTAAATTGGTTCAGACAGTTTTAAGTTTTGCATTAATTTCTTTTTCGCATTCAGCAGTCATTCATTCAACATTCATTCATTCAGCATTCAGCAGAGGGGAAAAGGAATGATCTATTTTTAAGCTGTGGGAAGTGGAAGTGTGTGTTCCTTCTGTACAAGGGTAGCTCCCCTGTGTCTTTGGGGGGCTTCCTTTGATGACGGCTGGGGAGGGAAGGTTCTTGCTAGCTAGTCCTTGGCCCTGTGCAGGTGGGTCCCACCTGGCATGCCTTGTGCTTCGCAGGAGATTGGGCTGAGGCCGTGGGGCCAGTCTCCAATACGTATTTGCATCCCATGCAGTGAACAGCAGAGTGCCTGACACTAGTCCTCAACTAGTGCCCCTCACTTCACCAGCTTGGGGCATAAAGATCTCACTGCTTTTTTTTTTCCCCCACTGCTTTTAATATTCAAATTAAATTAGTCCAAGTTCCAATTTTGCATAGCGTGATCAGGGTCTTTTTTCCTCTCACTTTAGCCCTCTTTTTCCATGGTAACCTCGGGGAACTAACCCAAGAAGTTACCTCTCATTACCATTGTCTCTAGTAGCTCTTCAGACTAGGCTATGTTAGGAATCATCTGGGATCTTGCTAAAAATGCACACTCTGATTCAGCAGGACAGGTGGGGCGTGAGGTTCTGCAGGTGATGCTGACGCTTCTAGTCCAAGGACACAGTTTGGGTAGCAAGGGTTCTCGGTTCCCGGTCCTTTTCATACCACGGCGCACGTGAAAACACCTGTGTGCTGTGCTGGTGAGCCTGCTCTGGCTGCCTGTAGCCCCAGATACCTCAGGGCTAGGAGAGTCAACATCCCGGCTCACTGCTAGCCCACTTGAGGCACCTTGGGGTGGGCCAAGGTACACCTGCAGAGAGGAGAGGAAATGGCCAACTCTGACAAATCAGATCTATACACGTGGGGTGTGTGTGTGGAGGCTCATTCTCTCTGACTGCTGTTGCAGGTGCTGCCCCATTATGTGGCTGGAAACAGGCCACCCTTGGGGCCTAGAGGGGCCCATGCCTGCCAGGAGTGCCCAGCTGATCCAGCATCATCTCCGGGTATGGAGAGGGGAGAATAAGGCTTTCTCCCCAGTGTTGAAGTTGGCCTGGTCGCCCCTCACCCCGTCATCCTGGGACCCCAGGCTCACCTCTTCATATGCGTAGCTCTTTTGGTGTGTGCGTGTGGAGGCTGGGGTGTGTGATATGTGCCCGTAGATGCAGAAGTACACATGCATGTGTGCACGCACACGGGCGCAGCCATTTTCCCTAATACACATCTGTCCTGCCAAAAGAGCTAAATCAAAAAGAGTAGGCGGCATTAGAGACCTACCATGCCCAGTGCTAGTTCTCCCACACAGCCAGACTTCTGTGTAGTGTGTCCTCTCTGGGGCCTTTTCTGTCATCTGTCATTTTTTTTTTTTTTTATTTTTGGGGGGACAGAGTCTCACTGTCACCCTGGGTAGAGTGCAGTGATGTCATCATAGCTCACAGCAACCTCAAACTCCTGGGCTCAGGCGATCCTCCTGCCTCAGCCTCTCCATTAGCTGGGACTACAGGCATGTGCCACCACACCTGGCTAATTTTTCCGTTTTTTTTTTTTTTTTTAGTGGAGACAGGGTCCCACTCTTGCTCAGGCTGGTCTCAAACTCAAGCAATCCTCCCGCCTCGGCCTCCCAGAGTGCTAGGATTATAGGCGTGAGCCACCGTGCCCGGCCCAAAGAGTTTTCTGTAAGGTAGAACCTTAGGAAAAAAAAAAAAAAAAAACACAACTCCAAACCAATGACCAATAAGTTGTTATTTTCCAGAAGGCTGCTTCCCAGCAAGCCATGGGAGAGAAAGGGGCAAACCTTTCAACTCAGTGGCCCATTACACCCTTTCTCAGGACACTGCTTATTTGCCTTACTTTTTACAGCTAAAAGGGCCTTCTCAAAGGGTCCTCCTAGAGCAAACGGAATCTGTCTGGATGTCTCCTTGCTGTAAATAGAGGCATTTGCGGCCTGTAAGTGGCTGTGAGCTTTACGAAAATAGCTACGAAAACGCGCGGTTGTGTCTGTCTTGGCACGCGCCCACTCCCCAGCCGCCACCCACCGTGAGCTGGCTCGGGAAACGTTTGCTGCATAAAAGGACAATCTTTGGGTGTCCCTGGGCCCCGAGCTCTGCCTGGCTGAAGTGCCTCTCCTTTCTCTCCAGGTCCATATTCAAGCCTTTCATCTTTGTCGACGATGTAAAACTTGTCCCCAAAGCACAGTCTCCCTGTTTTGGGGACGACGACCCTGCCAAAAAGGAGCCTCGGTTCCAGGAGAAACCAGACCGCCGGCATGAGCTGTACAAGGCCCACGAATGGGCCCGCGCCGTCCTCGAAAGAGGCCAGGTGAGCTTGGGTTAGGGCAGGTGAGGTCAGCGAGGGAGGAGGCAGGGCGGCAGGTGACACGCCAGCCTCTCTCCAGCTCTCCAGCTCGTCTAGTCTCCTCCAGGAGGAAGCCAGGCTCCCGAGGCCCTTCCTGGAAGGCTGGTGTTAATTTTCCTGCCCACACTCTTGAAACCAAATAAACCTAAGCCTCTCCTGACCCTGCTCTGGAACTCAGCAGCCCAAGAGTATCTCACTTTTATTTACTGTTTACTTAGGAATCATAGAAATATGCAGTTCTAGCAGGGATAACTGTTTCCCTGCTGTCTAAAATGCTTTGTATACTCTTGGGGGTAAAAAGTTATAATCGATGGCAACATTTTATGTAAAGATGGCAATCGTATGTTGTTTCAAAAAAGTAATTCTTCAGAAAAGTTTTGGCCATGGATGGTGGTGCTGACTGCACAACATTGTGAGTGTACTTAATGCCACTAAACCTACATATAAAAATGTTTAAAATGGTAGATTTTTATGTTATGTATGTTTTACGATAGTACAGACATAGTGTTAAGAAAGATTCTCAAGTTCCTAGCTTTAAAAAAAAGTAATTCTTCATAGTGAAACTTCTCCCCCCACCAATAAAACCTTTGGTTAATAAATTTACAAGATAGCGATTCAAACAAGAAAAACACCCAATACACATTCCCCAGCAGCCAGTGTGCCCACATCAGCCATTAGAGATGGAATTTCATATGGAATCCAAACCTACACTTTGCTGAAGAGGGGAAGAAGGAATGTGGTTGTTAGACATTCATCTGCTTCCCCCAGCATTCATGTCACAACTTCAGTAGGTCCACTTTGTCCTGAAGAACAGAGACACCTTTTAGGTATGTTGGTACATACATTTAATGTGGACTGAGTGAGCTTATTTTCTTATATTTAGCATGGTGGACTATATAAAAAGGATATGAAAAGGGTAGCACCAGCAACACTCTGAATAAATTCGGAAAGTATCTCAGAAAACAGCAGTCCCACTTTTCATAGGACTTGCTCTTCTATTCCACAGAAATGACTGACATCATTTATGTATTTGATGTGCACCTTTATTTCACACCTGTCCTCCTGCCAGACGTCCCCTGGAGCCACGAAGGCTGCCTTTGCACTCAACTGAGTTCCGCCCAGAGCTGTCACGCTCGTTCCTGACAGTGCTTATTTTCTAGGTGGATGACCATAAGCCCCAAGTAGACTAACCGTCTCTCTGTGGTGTGCGGTTTTGTGGACATTTGGCAGTCAGGACGGGGAGGTAGAAAGGCCGTGTGTTTGAAGAGATGAGGCTCCTGAGATTGGTGGGTTCCTGGCTTGAGTCAAGGTAGCAGGAGGGAAAGGTGGGTGGGTGGTGAGGGCAGCTGCTCAGTTCCGGGACTTACTGGGCAAATCAAAGCTTTTCACTGTCACCCACCAGAAATGAGTGAGTCCCGTTTGGAAGAAGAGATCTCACCATCTCAGAAAAAAGAGTGAATAGAGGATAGGCATGCCATGTGTTTACTCATCCGTCCATTATTTATTCATCCAACAAACACTTTTCGAGAGTGCCTACTATGTATGTCCCTGTCTTTGGAGGACAGTGAGACGCCTGGATCTTGCTCCCCAGGAGGTCAAGGTCTAACGGGGGATGCAGCCACACCCATAGGCAGACAGTCACAAGACAGACAACGACTGTGGCAGGAGTGAAGGCATTGCAAAGGGTTTTTGAGGAGGCTGAAGATGGGCAGGTGCAAGTAGACCAAGTGTTGAGGGAGGGAAGGAGCCTCTGGAGGGCAAGAGGCCAGGGAGGAAGGGCCTTTTCTGAATGTTGCTCAGGGACCTGGGTTTTATCCTGAGGGCAGTGGGGGGCTGTGTGGGTGTTCTAAGCAGGGCTGTGGGATAACCACATTGGCATTCTAGAACAATCCCCGTGGCAGTCGTGCGGGATGCAGATGGGAGGGCGAGGATGGGACCTCGGGCGGGAAGCTGGCCGGACTCCCCGGGGGCTTTCAGCATCCACTGGGATGACCCCACCATTTTGCGGACAGTAAAGTGGCCATGTCCTTCCCCAGGAGCAAGGTCACAAGCTGAGGAAGACCATGCTGGAGCTGGAGAAGCAAGGCCTGGAAGCCATGGAAGAAATCCTGGCCAGCTCTGACTCCCCGGACCTCGCCGAAGTGGGGGATCTTTTCTATGACTGTGTGGACACGGAGATTAAGTTCTTTAAGTGAAGTAAGCGTTCCCTTTCCCCCTTCTTATTTAAAACGTCCCACCTTACTAAATTACCAGCAAAACAAACCACTCTCTGTGCGAGTAAAATGAGAAAGCTGAGATGTGGCCTCCTTTTCTGAAGCCAGATCGAACTGCTCCCTTGTGTCCTGCCTTGAATCTCAAAGCGTCCCCTTCTTCTGCAGTGTAGGCCCCTCCCCCTGCAGTGTAACCTGTATCCCGTTTGCCTGTTGTTCACTCGTGCGACTAACTGTGGATTTAAGCTGCTATTATTGTATTTCAGTGACAATGGACACATTAGCCTTTTACGGAGGGAGGACTAGAGTTCATCAGGCCTTGAAAGACAGGCCCCGCAATGCCGAGTTGGCGGGAAAAGCAAACTCTTGTGAAGTCTTAGTCTCTGTCTCTGTAGTGGTTTCTTTCAGGTTCACAAAAGGCATTTGTCTGCACACACAGGGCTCTTGTGCGTGGAGCTGAGGGAGAACCTGCCTGGCCTCCCTTAACTATAGTGCACAGTGTCTCCAGAGGTGTCTTTTGGGGGACAGAACCGACAGGAGGGAGTAAAGGTGGCTCCTCTAATCCCAGATCCTTCCCGAGTCCTGTGATCCGGAAGAAGCTGTCTCCCCTGCACTGTGGTAGCCCCACGGAACCGGTCCGCGTGCAGGAGGGCTGGGCGGCTCTGAAAGCTGGAACCACCCACTTCAGAGATTCAAAACCACGCTGGTGACTTCCACAAACCACCGTGTGGATCACCCAAAAGGCCCAGCTGCTCTGTCTACACGGCAGCACAGCTGCCCGGGCACATGGCCTCGTGTAGAAGTGATTCCGGGTCTGTTCCCGGCATCTGGTCTGGGATTAATGGAGCGGCCCTGTGGCATATATAGTTCTTTCCACTCCACAAGGCTGTGAATCTCTCTGCTAATGAGGGAAAGAAAAGCAGGGACTCTTGGCTGTTTAGATGGCAGTTCAAATAGCTGGGATCTGAGCAGTCACTACATTGGCTCAACAGAGAGACTTTAATTAAACTGATTTGTTTCCAATGTCATGTTCACTTAAAGGATTTGACTTTCCACCAGGGCATAGAAAAGCATGTGAAGAAGACCAGATGGGCTCAGCACTGGGAAGAACGAGGGCAAGGAGGCAACAGATGGAGGTGGAAGCGCCTCTCTGCAGGGTAGCTGTCCACCCCCACGCTTCCTGCCCCGCCCGTGCGTCCACAAATCTGTGCACTGCCTTCCCTGGGTCTTTCCCCATATCTTCCTAGCTCATAGTTGCTGTGTCTGCTCAGACTGGTAGCTGAAGTGGACAGGTGGGGGGCACTGCCTTTATCTGTCGAAACTTCCAACGCCTCCAGACACGGGCAGAGTTGGTTAGCAGAAGTGGATGTTAACATAGCAGCCAGCGGGAGAGCACCGTTGGGCCTAACCCTGTTTCGTCTTTCTTGGCAGGAGTGTGCACATGGAAACATTGTGAGTGTCTGTAGTCTCAGGAGTGACTTAGAGGTAGGTGGTCACTCTTCCTCAGCAGCGGTGTCCCAGGCCACGAGAGCTGGAGGGGACCCAGCCCCTCAGTATGCAGGTGTGAACGCTAAGATCAGAGGTTTTATCAGAACAAATATTTTTTTCTACCAACTCTCTAAGAAGGTGGTATAGGAGTACCGTGAGCTTTGTGCTCAGCAGTTTTGTAAACTGTATGTAAAATTGTTACCCACAAATGGTGAGATGTGGGAAGAATATTTCAGCTGAAAAAGTTAAGGGCAACCAATAATGGTGGTTTGTAGTTGCTAAGAGCTTTGTGCAGGTTTGGCCGGGGCTTTTGCTGTTGGTGAATTCAGGGTCTCCTCGTAGGTGGCGTGGCCATTCCGAAAGGGTGAGGTTCAAGGGCGATGCAGCTACCTACCTCCTCCCAAGCCCACCTGCCGAGTGGCTATTTAAAGCAAGATGATGTAGAAAGCCACTCTTAAATTTCACTGCAGGGTTTCAGCTTGACCTATTACGGAAACATTTCATTAGACCTGACATGGCTGAGACAACCAAGGTGATTCAGGGTTTGATCGAAAGAAGTCTGGTGAGAATAAACCACGCAGAGGCTTGCTCTCATTCCTGTGGGCCACACAAAGGGTATGGATAACCCTGCCAGCTTTATGGTATTACCCATTCGTGCAGTGGGAAACACACGGCTACTTCTGTTAGGGGACACTGACCCTGGTCAGGCATCTCCGAGAAGGGTCAATTGAGCGTTGTCTTGGCTGATACTGTACACAGTTGTGATGTCTGGTCTTACCACTAGAGGGTGTGGCAGCCCTTGGTGGCACAGCCTAGCAGACATTAAGCCGGGCGTGGATGTGGTCTGTGTAGAGTCAGAACTCCAATAATGGCAGTGGGATGGGTAGGGAAAGGCAAGAAGAGAGCAAAAAATTCTCCTAATGTGGCTGTACTCACTTTGAGTGACTTTTATTATAAACAGTTGGAAATATGTTGTAGGATTTTTGGCTGTTGTAGGGGGAATTAAAAAAGAAAACAAATAATAGACTCCTGACATTTTGCTTTGGAAAAAAATGCTTATTACATGGATAATTTCTCGACCAGGGATTGCTCTTCTGAAGGCAGTATGGGGAAATGAACATTCAAGAGGATATATGGAAATAATGCTTAAAGGTCACAATGTGTAAATAGCATCCTAGAATACCATTTGTGTATCTGTTCAGACTTGAGGGGGGCTGTGCATGCTTTGTGCAAAGGAAGACATGGCCATACAGAATGGAATATCTCCCCTACCCCGCACCCCATAATCAAACACAAGCTTCCTAGTCTGGTCTAGAAGGTGGGATTTACCATAGGCATAGACAGCCCTAACACTCAAGGGCAGAGGCTCCAGTGAAGGTAACTTAGCAAAGCAGAACTCATACTATTTCATTCTTGGAGGTGCTTTGAAACTTTAGGTAGAATAAAGATATAATCGAAATTATGGAGATTCTTTAGCGCCCAATAACATGAGACCCAGGGTTGTTATTAGAAGGAGGCTTTCTGACAAGCTAACAGAGCAGGGGTATGACTATTAGATCTTAGCAGTGGAGTTCCTTTATTATTGGGTGAATCATTAGGTATAAAACAATAACTATCAACCAGGAAAATTTCTAACTGAAGTCATCCCAAATTGGTACAGGTGTTGTACAACTCTGGCTGGCCCAGCAGGGAAGCCAGGTGGGGACAGGGTGTCTGTCATGAAACCACTAACTGCATTCTTGACTGAAGAGCCATCCATCATTTGTTGGGAAGGTCTTCAGCTGAGCTCTTGGCTGTAGGAAGGAAGCACACAGAAGAGGGAGGGAGGGAGCCCACCTTGCTAGCCATGCTCATGGAAGGGAGAAGACCAGCAGGTCACCCACATGTGCTGCCTCAGGCTACCTTATGCTTCCTGGATCCTGGATGTGTGGCATTTCATTCAACACGGTCCTAAGTCCCAGCTCCTCTCCTGTGGTTTCTGTCTAAGTGTGCTTTATCTGATTAACTCCAAACATCCTTAAATGTCACCTGCAGATTTCTCATGGGAACCAATGTGTACGTGTTTGCAATCGTGTCATGAGAATTTAAATGTGTTAGATGTAAAATGCTATTGGCAGGGAATAATAAAAAAACATCTTTCTGTTTCCTGCAGTGGGAACTGACCATGTAATCTTAAGTCTTTTGTACAAATATCTACAAACCAGATAACGTCCCTATCCAGTGCTTGCCGTTGGAATTGTCTCTAAATGCATCAAACATACGATAATAAAATACTGAAATTAATGTCCAGTGGCCTCTTTTATCTCATGTCTCATGAATAAATGTGGGCATCAGTCACAACATAGAAAATGTACAAAAGGGGGGGATATGCTTTTCTGACTGACATCTTTAAAAGTAAAGCAGTTTAGTAGTTGCCTGCATTATGTACTGTTCTGTGGGTAAATTCACTCTTTACAACTAAACACAAAACCACAATGAGATACCACTTCACACCATCAGGATAGCTACTATAAAAACAAACAGACAAATGGAAAATAGCAAATGTTGGTGAGGATGTGGAGAGACTGGAGCCCTTATGCACTGTTGGTGGGAATGTAAATGGTGCAGCCACTGTGGAAAACTATGGATGTTGCTCAAAAAATTAAAAACGGAATTGCCCTATGATCTGGCACTTTCACGTCTGGGTATATACCCAAAAGAATCCAAAGCAGAGCCCAGAAGAGAGATTTGTACACCCATTGTTCACAATAGCTAAAATGTGGAAGCACCTCAAGTTTCTATAGACAGATGAAAGGATAAACAAAATGTGGTATAGCCATATAAAGGGATATTATTCAGCCTTAAAAAGGAAGGAAATTCTGACATATGCTACAACATGGATGAACCTCGAGGACATTATGCTAAGTGAAATAAACCAGTCACAAAAGAACAAGTATTATACGATTGCATTTATATAAGGTACCTAGAGTAGTCGAATTTATAGAGATAGAGAGTAGAATAATGGTTGCCAGGTGCTGGGGGAGGCGGGGGAGAACAGGGGTTAGTGTTTTAATGGTACAGAGTTTCTGTTTTGCAAGGTGAAGAGTCACGGAGATGCATGGTGGTGATGGTTGCAGAACAACACAGCTGTGCTTAACACTACTGAACTGAACACTAAAGATGGTTAACATAGTAAATTTTGCATTATGTGTATTTTACCATAATTTTTCAAAACGATAAAAGCTAGTATGTAGAATCCAAAGGCTGGAATGTCAGCACATCTGGTGCTCTCCGTGCCAACACCCTTTATCCTAAAGCTTTAGCAGCTCCACAACAGAAGATGCCACTTAAGAAAAAAGCCAACCCTCTCCACTCTGTGGCCCAGAAGTGCCAGATTGCCTCCAAGATTCTGCCTCCACTGTGACAGGCAAAATGCAACTGCATGTCTTGTTCATGAATATGGAGACTGAGTCACCTGCAATGAGTGACCTACGTCAAGGTGAGAGTAGAGGACTGCCCCGTTCGTAGGACGAGGCGTTGCTAATTCTTTAGATTCTGTTCCCAGCTCTCTTTTCACAGACATAATACACTCCAAGGGGACGGAGCGTGGGTTAGTTTGCTAGGGCTGCGGTAGCAAAGGTTACACTGTGCGGTGTAACCAGGAGAAATCTCTTGTCTCACAGTTCTGGAGCCCGGAAGTCCAAGAGTAAGGTGCCAGCAGGGCTGGTTCCTCCTGAGGGCCAAAAGGAACCTGTCCATGTCTCCAGCCCGGCGCGATCGGCTGGCTGGCTGGCATTTCAGCGCTTCCTGCCCTGTGAGAAACATCATCTCCATCTCTGCCTTCATTTTCACCGTGTCCGAATGTCCCCATTTTATAAGGACACCAGTCATATTGGATTAAGGGCCTGCCCTACTTCAGTATGACCTCATCTTTAATTGTATCTGCAGTGACCCTATTTCCAAGTACGGTCACCCTCTGAAGGACGAGGGTTAGGACTTCAACATATGAATTCTGGGGGGGCACAATTCAATCCACAACAAGCAGGTTCCTGCAGGATGCCGAAGGTTCCTGGGGCAGCGCCTGAGAATTTGGAACTTCCTTCCACATCCACAGCCCTTCCCATTAAGTTGCTCCCCTCCCCTGTCTGGGGACCACGTCTCCCACACTAAACTCCCTAAGGGGTACCTGGAATCATGGCTACTTCCCCACCTGCCACGGTCATCGTGACTTTGCAGTTCATCATCCAATTCGTAGGTTATCTTGGGCCCTTGCTGTTCTTCCTCACTCAGACTGTCCCTTTTGGTCGTTCAAGAGCTTATCTGTGCCTCCACCAGTAAGAGAACAGAAAAAAACAAGTCAGCCCCTTAACTGATCCTGATGCAAAGTGTGTAGTAACCAGCTTTGAAATTAGTTTCTAGATGAGATTTATTTTGGGAACATCTATGAATTTTAATTGCTGCCATGTCTTTGTTATCCACCAGCAGAGCCAGTGAAGTATGGTCTGAGCAGCTCAGCAAGCTTCTAAATGGAATGCCTGGGACGAGGCCAGCAGAGCTTGTGTTTGTGAAGGAGCCTGGAATCAGCCATCTGGCTGCTCCCCAGGGTGCGGGGCGCCCCGTCACCTGGCTCTGTTGTGATCCAAGGGTTGAGGGTTTACCCACATGTTATGTCACTGAATCTTTATCACTATATGCTCAGGTGCATATTTATGTCCCCACTTGACAGACGAGGAAACTGAGGCACAGACCAGTTATTTCCTCTCTCCAGTTTGTAAAAGGCAAAACACAGATGCAGATCCTTGTTTGCCTTCCAAGCTGTAGTTCTGAACTAGCTCACCTCGCAGACGAACCTCCCCTCCCCTGTAGCAGGTTCCAGAGCCCACCTTAAAACACTGCAGTGGAGACTGAGATGATTCTGCCTCACACAGGAGGCTTTTTTGAGGGGTTTGCTGAGTTGAGCGGGGCTGAAAGTTATTCCATTTTATTACAAGTTAGCAGAATTTATAAGCAATACACTGCCCCTTTTGTACTAATAAAACGATAGCGTTATATACTTTAAAAAACACAGCTGAGAATGTTTTTTTTCCCCCTTGCCTTGTTTTTCACAAATACCCATGAGGTTAATCAGCTCAAGAAAGGACCTGTTTCCAACACGGTATGTTACAGCAAGCTGTGTAGACAACCACTTCGAGCTGCCATTCTTAGAAGCCCTCCTGATCCTTCAACACGCTTGGCTTAGATTGGTACCCGTGACCGTCGATGGGTTTTAACAAGGACACGACTGGAAGCATTTTCCACTTATTAAAGTTTATTAGGTACAAAGAAATGGATCTGCAGAGGGAGACATCAATAAATATAAAATACATGTGAAACACCGGGGCAGTCACAGACGACAGTGTCAGTGAGAGTATGTGAGGGTGGCAGGGGACCCGGGGACTCAGATGCCTCCAAGTGTGAGTTCACGGTCAAGAAACCTTCCCGCCGCCTCCGCCCGAGGAACTCGGTGCGCAGCACGAGCTCGAGGGCTGTGGATTCAGTGCTAGGTCTCGAGGAGAGCTGTGATGCCAGATTCCTGAGATTTCTCCCTAATTGCCGTTTTTGGTTTCTGCTCGTTCCTTCCCTCTGTCCTTAAATGGTTTTATTTTTAATTTCTGTCCCAGCAGTACGGAACATGAATGTATAAACACCTCATCAGGGCAGGCAGTCTACTCTGAAGGTGGAGCTGCCTTTGTCTGGAGCCTTCTTAGTCATGATCATTAAAACGTTTATAATTATTCTACACCACTGGGAGGGACGGTGGAGTGGATGCTGTTATTATCTTTATTAAAAGAAATCCTGACCTTTTGGAAACCTTCTAGAACCAACAAATCAGTTATGCCCCGAGCTGATGACCTGCAAAAGCTTATTTTCCATGGGTTTAGCTGCTGCAATTTGATTTGATCCGTTCCCCAGGGATGAAGGGAACTTGACCCTGGTTCCCTGGCTTCTATCCGGAAGGAGAAAGTGCAGCACTGATGTAAAAAGTGCAGGACTCCATCTCCGCGTTTACTCCGGACAGCCCCTGGGTGTGCGCAGTCACCTTTGCCCAAACCCTCCTAACCATCCGCCTTTCCGGATGGCTTGGTCTGGCCATGAGATCCTGCCTGAGTGGGTTGTTCCAAAACAGACATTTTTCACTGGTCTCCCCGCTCTCCTTCCCAATATCCTTTAATCTACAGCTATTCTGAGCACAGCCCGGGGATCAGTCTGTTTCCTATTTTCTCTCCTTCCTCTGTCACAGCCTTCCCCCACCAAAGACAGGGAGCATTTGGGGTCAGGCAGCAAACAACCAAAACACACTCCAGTCCCTTGCTGGCTCAAGAAAAGAGTGTGAGGGGCAGTCCCAGCCAGCCTGACCCTTCCACGCTCGGGCGGCTGGGCCTGCACAGGTCTGCCCCGAAGAGACACGCTGCCACGAGGGAATGAGCCGGGACCTGTCGGCAGGTGACCCCTTTAGCTCAGGGGGACCAAGTTTTGCCTGATGGGTGGTTCCAAGGTTCCTAAAGGTGGGGACGTGGCAACAGATTTTTGAGGCAGGCATTTCAGGAGCCGTTTCATTCTATACTTCATCAAGTCCCGTTTTCCATGGACATCCCACACTGGAAGAGGGGGCAGCGGGGGAGACCTCTGAGATAGAATTAGGAGTTGACCGTAATAATGAGTTGTGCATGTTTTTAACTTGCAGGGGAAACAAATACCGAAATCTCATAAAGCTGACCTTACCCTGGCTACCGGGATGGGGCTGGGAACTTGGAGGGGACAGGAAGAAAGTGACGGAGACCTGGGCACTAGGGACACTGTAAACAGTAAGAGCATTGGCTACTTGTAGGATTGTTCAGTGACAAAAGGGGCCCTGCGGTCGGCATGGGAGGGGCCACGCCCACTCTAGCCTTTGCTTTGTGATATATTTACATTAGGCAGCGAAAAAACATCCCTGTACTGCAGAACGGAAGCGAGACCTGGCATCTCGTTCTCTGGAGGCTGCGTGGCATTGTCTGGGTGGGGGGACACACTACTTCCTCTGAGCTGCGTCATTTGTAAGGCATTATCTGGTTTGATCTTGCAGTTGCTGCGATGAGAATATAAAATCATGCCAATAAGAAGTCGTGGATACTTCAGACTTTGGGACTACCTGCAAACTAAGGACTCTCTAAAAACGGTTCAGAATCTAGAAAGGGCCAGCCCGCAAGCATATTCACAGTCATGGAATGGGCCTGGGGGTTGGGGGGGCGGGGACAGGCTTCTATCTGTACTGACAGACGAGTGCCAAGATGTAAAAAATGGAAAAATGGTGGGTGTCTTTAAAAATATTACTCAAATAAAAGTCGACTAAAATACTGCTTCGAAGCCCGTGCAAACCACGTATTTACAATAAATGAATGCTCTAGTCAGAGCCTGTATGTCAACTGAATTACAGCTGGAGCATGGTGGGGGGGGGTCTGACACGTTCTCCTGGGGGTGCCCGTCCTGCAGTCTGGAACCCAGGGCCTTGGCTTCATCTGTCTTCTCACCGGAGAGTCTTCAGAGCTAACTGTGGAAACAGGATGGAACATCACTGGGTGGGCTTAGAAGACCCTTGCACACAAAAGCCCCCGCCTGCCACCCAGGGCTGAGCACTGCAGCTTCTCCTCACCCGTGCAAGGCTGCCAAGGCAGGGCAGATGCATACACCAGAAGCTGATTCTTGCCCAAGGGGTCACGGTGGAAACGGGATGAAATGGGATATGTAGCTGATGGTATGTGAGGAGCTAATGCTGTCTGATAAACATTTACAGGGCCAAGTATCAGCAATTCATTTGACAGCAATTCGCTTCAAAGAATTTGCTGAAGATCCGGAGTCAAAGCAATGAAAAAGAAAGAAAGGAACCCAAGCCTTCTGGTCCAGGGTTTCCATACACACACACTGATTACTGTATCCACAAAAGAAGAAAGCGTGCTCAAGGTTATTATTTGCAATGTCCAGAACTCAGTGATTTCTCTGGGCAATTGCTCTGTGTTTCCTTGCAGTGAAGATGAATTCAGATGGGAGACATAAAGAAGATCTTCTTTAATGTGGAATGCCCAAAGGAGACTTCACAGTCCTTCCCTGACTACACTGTTACGGACAGAGATCAAAACCAGCAGTCTCGGGTGATTGAGGTGTGTGCCTGCCACGAGGCTGGGGACACAGCATTGCCACATTGATGGTGAGGATGGCTCTTGTCCCTGGAGACTCTGACATGCCAGGAAAAGCAGTGAAGTACAGTGGAAGGAACTCCAGACAAGAGGTCAGAAGGTGTGGGCATTGTGACATTGGGCAAGTTCTCTTCAGCCTTCTGGAGTGGTTTTCTTTTCTGTAAAATTGGCTTTAAAGGTATCTCTCCAGCTTCCATCACAGGGTTATTATAAAAGGATCAAATGAGATAACATATGCAAGCTAGACCAAAACTGTACAGAGCCAGGTACATACAGGGGACTATGATTATGATTACTACTATATTTTTCTGATCACAGGAGTAATATATTCACTGTAGAAAATTTGGATATTATAGAAACACACAAAGAAGAAAGTAAAAATCAGCTGTAATCTTCTAAAGTGAATGGCTATCAGCAATTTTTTCCTCCAGTTTTTTTTTTTACACCGTTGTCTGTCACACAGAACTCTGAAACAGGAGGTGGCCACTGCAGGACTGAATATGATTTCAAAGAAAACAAAGGACTTTTAAAGCTGAGATCCTATCATATGCAGTGGGGACCTTATCTCTGCCTGGGTCAGGAAACACTTCTGTCCAACTGCCCTGGGTGAGACGAAGGGTTTTTCTCTAAAGAATCTTATCACCTGGCACCTGTCTGCCTTCCCTTCTAGCTCTGTCAGTTTCTTGTAGCCACCAGGACTTGAACTGCGACTAAAGTTGGTCAAAATCAATTATAATACTATAGATATAGGAAAAAACTCCAAAGGTGCTGAAAGAAACCATGTATTCTATCGATGAGAGAGAACAATGACTTATGTTTTATAAACGTTATGAGTTTTTCTTGCAAGCCTTCAGAAGCAGGGCAGACTAGCAATTATCAAGCGATTATTGCTGCAGAAAGATTCTAAAGGGCTCCTGAGTTGCTAAATTTGCTTCTGCATGTGGTGGTGATTCCAGGGGAGCCCCCCATATGCATCCTTCACGACTTTGAAATTATGAGTGTTCCATTCCGGCTTGAAACAAAGGCACACCAAATGGCTTTCCCTGAGGAGAAGCAGTCTGAGGAAAAAACTTAAGCTGGTTCAGGAGAGAGAGCGCCCTCAGCACTCCTGTGCTCCCTGAGGAGAATCCCTGGTTTTACATTCAGAGACCAGAGGGATGTGTTACCTGAGAATTTCTGCCTTTGATGTCATCAGAGCTCTGCGTGGCTGCCTCGGCCTGGAGCCAGGGGCCAGGTGTACGGCCTGAAAGAAACAAGAACCGTTTCGCTGTCTAGTAGCCCAGGGACTGGCTGTGTACACTTCACAGAGAAACTTTCACTAAACCAACACTTAAGCGACAGCAAAGGAACGAAAGGTAACGTGAGCCCATCCACCCGAAACCTCCAGGCTCCTGGCCCTAGACTGTGTGTTTCCAGCCCCATCTTCTATGTCACAGACCGTGGATGCTGAGGAGTCATGTCTAATACACTTGAGGAGAACAACTTATTAAGGCCTATCATCTGCATGCACGTTAAGAGTTTATTTACTCAAAACATACCCATCATCTCCAGGTCTGCTCAGGGTTCGTCAAAAAGTTGGTTAAAAAAGTTAAGAGTAACTGATATAAGTAGGACTTATGTTTCATGAAGATCCAAATCGTTCTCTAAAATATTATGTTTAAATATTACACAATATTTAATATTATGTTTAAAGATTACACAACTTATAATGCATATGAATATATTCTCAGTTAAGAATTCAAAGAATACCGAAGAAGATAATGAAGAAAACCCTGAAAGTTCCTCTGCCTGTCACTCCCCTAATCTTAATTTTCTATCCCAAGTTACCACGGCAAAAAGTTTAGTGTTTATCCCTCCAGATTTTTTTTTTTCTTTTTGGCATTTACTTACACATATCTGCATATATACAGATACATGGTTTGGTGGGTCTACCCAAGTTTTTTTTTTTTTTTTTTGAGACAGAGTCTCGCTTTGTTGCCCAGGCTAGAGTGAGTGCCGTAGCGTCAGCCTAGCTCACAGCAACCTCAAACTCCTGGGCTCAAGCGATCCTGCTGCCTCAGCCTCCCGAGTAGCTGGGACTACAGGCATGCATCACCATGCCCAGCTAATTTTTTATATATATTTTAGTTGGCCAATTAATTTCTTTCTATTTTTTTATAGTAGAGACGGGGTCTCGCTCTTGCTCAGGCTGGTTTTGAACTCCTGACCTCGAGCAATCCACCCGCCTTGGCCTCCCAGAGTGCGTGAGCCACCACGCACTACCCAAGTTTTAAATCTACATTCCCAGGTGTTCCAGCCAAATGGTGTCTCCTGGGATCTCTTCTGCTGCATTTGGTACGAGCCTTTTCTGTTTCTGTCCTGAACAAGACATTAAATAACTGTGTCCCAAAGTCCCCAGAACAATCCAAAATTGCTGTGCTACTTAAAAAGCAACAAGAAAAGCACAAATGTTCATCACAGAAAATTTAAAACAGGCCGGGCGCAGTGGCTCACGTCTGTAATCCTAGCACTCTGGGAGGCCAAGGCGGGAGGATCGCTCAAGGTCAGGAGTTCAAAACCAGCCTGAGCAAGACCCCGTCTCTACTAAAAATAGAAAGAAATTAATTGACCAACTAAAAACAAATATATAAAAAATTAACCGGGCATGGTGGTGCATGCCTGTAGTCCCAGCTACTCGGGAGGCTGAGGCAGGAGGATCGCTTAAGCCCAGGAGACAGCTTGCTGTGAGTTAGGCTGACGCCACGGCACTCACTCTAGCCTGGGCAACAAAGTGAGACTCTGTCTCAAAAAAGAAAAAAAAGAAAGAAAATTTAAAACAATGCAAAACAGATAACCTGTATTTGACAAAAGTTTTTAGATAGTATAGGGTTCAGCATCATATGATGGCATGCTAAGCAGCTGTTTGAATGTTTACAAAGACTCCTTTTGGGGAGATGAAACTGTATAAATAGAATGACCTCAACTATTTTTAAAATTCATCAAAAAACCCATAAATAATATACTAAAATGTTTCCTCCTGGGGGGTAGAATTACCATTTTATAAAAAACTCTTTAAAAAAATGCTTTTCAAATTTTCTTCCATGAACATATGTAAGTCATCAATAACATTTTTTAAGGTGAGGTGCACATTTTTTAACAAACTATCATGTAGAAGGGTCTCTGAGACTTTTAAAACATTAATCAAATGGGCACTGTCATTTTGATTAAAACATTTTTTAAAATTAATGAGTGCACTTGTTCTAGAATAAAGACATTTTGGACCAAAAGACATAGGCAGTGCCAGATTTTTAGCCAGTTTATTGACTGAGTAAAAAGTAAAAAGACATTGATATACAGCCCTGATCTTATTTCATATGAGAGGATAACCCTGGAAATAACTGTTCTTAGATTTAAGAAACTCCTGTCTTCTACAGAAAAACCTTCTAGGCCAGGGTTTTGCAACCTTGGCTTTATTAACATTTTGGGCTGAATAATTCTTCACTTGGAGTCTGTCCCGTGTGTCACAGAATGTTTAACAACATCCCTGGTCTCTACCCTCTAGATGCCGGTAGCATGTCCACACCCACTTGTAACAATAAAAAAATGACATTGCCAAATGTCCCCTGGGGGGAAAAAAATCTTCCCTGTTTGGGAACCACTGGGCCATAAAACAGGCTTCACCATAGGTAAGCAGTCCCCACCAGTTTTCATAAATATGATGGGAACAATAGCAGAGAGGTTAAAGGAGAATCAACTTCTTCATAAAAACAGAAAGGCAAACTCTGTATCTCATTATAATGAAAAGAAAAAATTCACTGCTACTAGAAGTGGGTGGCTGGGACTTAGTCAGGGTTATTAGAGTACTTTTAATCCAAGTGTCTCCTTAGAGGGATTTTCCCTTACGAGATGCCACTAGAATCTCTTAGAACTCAAAAAGTAGAGGCATATTCTGCTGAGGCAGCCCTTCACACACAGGCTGCTTTCCCACAGAAGGGCGTTCCAAAGTCACCAAAACAGTGGCGCTTCCAAATTCGTGGCACCGTAACTCCCAGTCAGAAATAGTGTTTACCTCTCTGCCCAATCTCAAGCGCCCACTGCTCTTCCAGAGCAGACCGGGTGAACGTCTTTACTGTCTGCCGTAGACGGACGGCCCCTCTTCCCTCCCGTGAAAATAGTTGCGGGTACAAAAGTGGTTGAAAGAGCCGCTTGGGACAGAACTCCTCTCCACTGAGGGGCTTAAAGAAGAAAAGTGCTTGGGCACTTGGGGGGGCCAAGCTGGCTTCCAACTTTATTTTTTGTCATTTGTAAATCAAGCAAGCCCTGTATCTGTTTTCCAGGCACAGAGAGATTTTCATGTCAGAAAACAAAACATCCATTTTGTAGCCGGGCATCCAGAGGATGAACGCCTGTGCAGGACTTGGAGAATGTCCCGAAGGATTTACGAGCCTGGCTGGCCGTGGGAGCAGGCTCTCTCTCGGAGAGCCTGGGTAGGACACCTGCCAGCTCTAGGGTGTGGTTCCTGTGGGCCAGGAAGGGGGCTCTGGGGAAAGGTGGGCTCCTGTGAGAGGCAGAGCTAACTGTTGGCTGGCTCTGGGCCAAAACTGCCTGTCCAAGCTGCGGTCCATCCTGGCATGAGATGAAGTGGCAGTGAAGAGGTAGGCAACGTGGTGGGAGCACTGGGCCGGGAGCAGAGAGCCTGGCTCTGGCCCCTGCTTGGCCACAGCTGTGAACAGGGGCAGGTTTCTTCAGCTGTATATGCAGGAGCTGGGCTGGACAACCTGAAAGGGCCTTTCCTGTTCTTACATTGGAAGCTTCTTACAATCTCTAAGTGAAGGATGGGACCGGTTTTATTGGAAATGATAATTCTAGTACCTTCCAGATCTACACCTTAGGGATTGCACATCCAGCCTTTTCCCTCATTCCCCACTGTTGTCGCTGTGGTAGTTCAGGCTGGTATGTGAGCTACCCACCACTCCTTCCTCACCCGTACCGCCTCTGTAGAGAACTGAGCCGCCCAGTCCCTGAGACAGTCACCCTGCAATCCCAGGGCCTCACTGCCTTCTCCCACAGCTGCTCAGACCAGGGCTGGGCTAATTATATTCTCTCTCCCAATAACTTGTGATCCAAAAATTAGTTTTAATAATTGTTAAAAGCAATACACATTTATTATAAAAACTTGGACAATAGTTAGCAAAGAAGAAAATGAAAATCACCCAGAATTCAGCCACTGAGTGATGACCACTTTTAATATTTTGGTATAGGCCTGGCAAGGTGGCTCATGTCTGTAATCCTAGCACTCTGGGAGGCCGAGGCGGGCAGATTGCTCGAGGTCAGGAGTTCGAAACCAGCCTGAGCAAGAGCGAGACCCTGTCTCTACTATAAATAGAAAGAAATTAATTGGCCAACTAATATATATATATAAAAAACTAGCCGGGCATGGTGGTGCATGCCTGTAGTCCCAGCTACTTGGGAGGCTGAGGCAGGAAGATTGCTTGAGCCCAGGAGTTTGAGGCTGCTGTGAGCTAGGCTGACGCCACAGCACTCACTCTAGCCTGGGCAACAAAGCGAGACTCTGTCTCAAAACAAAACAAAACAAAACAAAAAAAATATTTTGGTATACATAGTTCTTAGTCTCTTCTATCAAATTCTCCTTTTCTACATAGATATACAAATTATATTTTTTAAAAATTTGGATTTTACTTTATGTACCTTTTTGTATACTTTTTTGATATTGCTTTTACTTAACAAGTTAGTGTAAACATTTCCCCATGTCATTAAATATCTGACAGTAGTGTTTAATGGTCACATAGTATTCCATCGTGTGGCCCTGCCTTCATTTATTTAACGCCGTTGTTGGAGTGTGTGCTATTTCCAATTTTTTCACTGCAGAAATGGTTTAGCAATGCATCTATGAGGGAACGTTTTTATTTATTAATTCAACAGGCATTTATGGAGTGTCCGCATGCCTTGCTCCATTCCAGGGGCTGGAGACTAGCCAGTGAATGAAAGCTGAAGCGGTCTCTGACATTTAGGGCCTTCCACTGTACTGGGGAGACAGACAAGGGCCAGGCAAATAAAATCAAGAGGTGATAAATGCTTTGAAGACAATTAGAAAACAGTGTTAAGAGAATAAAAAGTAACAGGGCAAAGAAAACTCCTATCTTATGAAGGGTGGTCAGGGAAGAACTCTCTGATAAGGTATTGCTCCAGACTGAATTGCATCCCCCCAAATTCAGATGTTAGAGGCTTAATGCTCACTGTCAGGGTATTTGGAGATAAGGGTTTATAGGGGATAATTAGGCTTAGATGAGGTCATCAGGGTGGGGCCCATATAAACCATGACACCAGAGAGCTTGTTTTCTCTCTCTTCACCCTTTGAGCACACAGTGAGAAGGTGGCCCTCTGCAAGCCAGAAAATGAGCCTCTCCAGAAACAGAACTGGCTGGCACCTTGATCTTGGACTTCCCAGCCTCCAGAACCATGAGAAAATAAATTTCTATTGTTTAAGCCACCCAGGCTATGCCACTTTGTTATGGCAGCCTGAGCAGACTGAGCTCAGGTATCATCTGATCAAAGATCCAGAGGAAGTGTGGAGTGAGTCACATGGATATCTGGGGTAAGTGTCTCATAGAGAAGAAAGAGCATATGCAAAGAGCCCGGAGGCATGAGTGTGCTTGGAATGTTCTAGAACTTTCAGGTGTTGTTGGAGCCAAATGAGGTGAGAGGAGAGCAGTGGAAGGGAATGGGGGTAGTTCATGTAGATCTTGAGTTGTGATGGAAATTTCCAATTGACTTGGAGCAAGAAGGGAATGCACTGAAGGGTTCCGTGCAGAGAGTAGCATGGCTGGGCCTGGGTTGTGGACAAGCCACCCGGGCTGCTGCGTGAAGGAGGGGAGCCTGTTAGCAGGTTCTGGCGGCAATTTGAGTGGGAAATCCACAGTGGCTTAGGCCAGGGTGGGAGTGGCAGAGGAGGCGAGAGGGATCAGATTCAGATGACTCTGAAGTATTTGGTGTAACAAAAAAACAGAGGTGCAGTCAGTGTGCAGGGGAAGAAGGGAGAGAGGGGGCGGCTGGGACGCTAAGTGAAGCAGTGCTTCAGAAGAAGGGAGTGACAAGCTGCAGCTAATGCCTCTGCCCACTGGACGTGGCAGCGTGGAGGTGCACTGGTGGCCTTGGCAAGAGGTCTTGCCATGGCTTGGAGGGGAGAAGCCCTGGGAGGGCGCGGCTCTGGAGAGGACAGGATGAGAGGAAGCAGAGGTAGTACCGGCTAAAAGAGGAGCAGAGAAATGGCGCAGGGACCAGAGCAGGTGGAGGGAGGTAGTTCATACGTGACAGCACCGTCACAGGTTCAGAGAAACTAAGGAGTGTCCCGAGAAGACAGCAGTCGTGGTGAAAGAGTGGGATGCTGGGGGTATGGTCAGCACTCGTAATCAGGCTCGCAGAGGTTCTAACCCCCCCAGTTGCCTTCCTCCTGCTGGCAGTGTGTTTTGTCTACAGGTTCTCTCAGTCTTGGGACACCTAATCCTTTGATTTTTATGACACGAACTACCCAATGCTGTTAAAGTTACTGCAGTGCCTGGTGGAGAAGTTTCACTGCTAATGGAAAAATGGCAGCTAGTTTCACTGTAAGTGCAAAGTGACTATTTTAAAGTAGGACTTGGATCACATATGATACCACCTCACGAGTGCAAGAATGACTACTATAAAATAAAAATAAGATAAAATAAAAAATAACAAATGTTGGAGAGGACGTGGAAAAACCGAAACCCTTGCACGCTGTTAGCAGAAATGTAAAACGTGCAGCGGCCATGGAAAACGGTGTGGAGTTTCCTCAAAAAAATTAAAATATAATTACCATATGATCCAGCAAGTCTATTTCTGAGTACTGGAAACAAGGACTTGAATGGCTATTTGTACGTCCACATTCATAGCTGCATCACTCACAATAGTTAAGAGGTGGAAGCAGCCCAATTGTCCATCCATGGATTAATGGATAACAAAATGTGGTGTTATCCATAGAATGGAATATTATTTATCCTTAAAAAGGAAAGAAATTCTGACACATGCTACAGCATGGATGGACCTTGAGGACATAAGCTAAGCAAAATAAGCCAGTCTCTAAAAAACAAATACTGTATAATTGCACTTATATGAGGTGCCTAGAGTAGTCAGATTCACAGAGACAGAAAGCAGAAGGGTGTTGCCAGGGGCTGGGGGAGAGGGCAGTGGGGAGTTATTCAGGACTTGGGATGTAAACAGAATCATGTTTAAATTTGGCCACTATCCTGCAGAACTGGCTGTGATGGAGATGTTTTTGCTGGGAACACCAGAATGAAATCACCTGTTTGGGTATCTGTCTCCCCCGACCCCTTCCTCCACCCATGATGTGAATTTCTTTCTTTCTGTTTTTATGTTTTGAGACAGAGTCTCGCTTTGTTGCCAGGGCTTATAATGAATGTCATCGGCATCACTCACAGCAACCTCAAACTCCTGGGCTCAAGCGATCCTCCTGCCTCAGCCTCCCAAGCAGCTGGGACTACAGGCATGTGCCACCATGCCTGGCTAATTTTTTCTATATATTTTTAGTTGGCCAATTAATTCCCTTCCATTTTTAGTAGAGACAGGGTCTCGCTCTTGCTCAAACTGGTTTCAAACTCCCATTCTTGAGTGATCCGCCCGCCTCGGCCTCCCAGAGTGCTAGTATTACAGGCGCGAGCCGCTGTGCCCCTCCGGGAAGAGATTTTTAAGAATCTGCTTTTCCCTGTCCATAAACTCTCTGCATTAAGGACGGATGACAAGGTACGCTAAGCTCCTAGAACAGTGCCAGGTACGCACAATGGCGCCCCCAACAGTCTCCGTCATGGTACTGTTGTTTCACATTTTCACTGACAGTTCTTCCCCTGCGTACAGATTCAAGCTCTAACGCCTCAGAAGGGACAGAGCATCCTTCCCGTTAGGGGGCACACTTACGTCCCTGTCCCCGTGTTTCTGTGTGCAGGCACCTCCCCGGGGAGGCGTTCCCTAGTCTGAGGGAACCGGCCACGTGAGGCCTGGCCCTGCTGGTCGGTGCTGACACCCGGCTGCCTGCTGACCGAGGGGCCTCCCCTCCGCTCTCCCTGCCACGTGGGAAGCCCTGTGAGGCAGGCTCTGGGACTGTGGGGGAGGCCAGCCTCTGCTTCCTCATGCGTGCGTCGCCCTGCCTGGGGGAGTGAGTGACCCTAACTCCGGGTGTAACAATAGAAAATCTGCTCTTGCTGAACCCCTCAGGTCCGATTCCTGTGAACACTTCACCAGATGGGAAAAGGGGTGTTTTATATTAACATCCCCCCAGCCTAAAGCTCTGGCAGACTCACCTAGCCAGGCACCTTGTGCTCTGAGACACCACATGGGACGATCGTGCTGTCTCCTGGGTTCGTCCTGTCCTCAGCCCGCGTGCCTCCCCACCAACAGCACGGTGGACCCCACCGCCCACCCACTGCCCACCCACCACCCACCAGTGCCCTCAGCTCTCTCGGCACTCACTGACTGAGACGCTCCCATCGCGTCACGATCGTCTCTCTCACATCCCTCTCAGGAGTGTGTGCGCTGGGGGCTTGGTACAGGGGACCCTGTTTTCTTTTCTTTTCTTTTTTTTTATTTCGGCATATTATGGAAAGGGGACCCTGCTTTCTACACTTGGCAGCCTCCGGTGCTCGCAGGACAGCCGCCGCAGGACAGGCAGTTCATGCCATTTGTTGAACTGAGTGGGAGTGAGAGACGGACACGGCGCCTGTCTTCTAGCGCTGTGTCTTCACAGGCGCCCTAAGTGGCCGGCCCTCCCTCCGTCCTCCTGTGTACTGCTCCCCTCTGTCTCCTTCTCAATCCAGAGCAGCGGCAGTCACACGTTATTAACAGAGCACACAAGGTCACGGCTCTCTAACTGTGCAGTCCCACGGGCCAGTGGGGAAAGACTGGCCCGGGCTGACCCGGGAGGAGCCTACGAGAGCAGAGAGCAGGCCTCGTTCCCTCTGCTCTGCAGGAAGCTGAGTGCTGCAGAAGGGACTTCCCCAAGGTCTCTCCAAAAGGAGAAGGTCAAAGAGCAGGGCTCTCAATTCCTGGTCTTGGGCTAACCCTGGACACTGATGGCTTTCTACTTGGGCCCACAGATGTCTGGGGTGGGGGGCCATAGTTAGGCTGTGGGGCGGGAACACATCTGACCCTCACCCCATATTGTCGACTCTGTCCCCGTTTTACTGGCTCCTGCCCGAGCGGACTGGCCCAGCAGTGGACAGGAACCAGCTCCTGTTAACTAGCGCACAGCCCTGCCGCCTCTCCCACTTGGAAGGCCGAACAGGTAAGCCAGGTGCGGCCTCTCCTGCAGCCTGATCACACCACGAAATCAGGAGGCGGCAGGCCCTCCCCAGGCTGTGATTCCCAGCCATGGCTGCACACTGGAATCACTTGGCAGCTTTCAGAAATACATCTGCATCCCGCCCTAGCCTGGCCTTCAGGCTTTTTAAAAGCTGCCTAGGTCATTCTAACGTGTAGCCAAGGTTGAAAACCATTGATCTAAGGACATTCTCCATTTCGTGGTTTGTAAGTGTTCTCGACTGGGGGGTTTCAGGTTCTTCCCCAGCTATTAATACAAAGCTCCTGTATCTCGTTCTGCTGTTGTTTGGGGGTGTTCAGTTCCCTTATCAAAAGCCCCAGAGAGGGCTGAGTAGTAAATTTAGGCATCCAAATCTGATGCCAAACAGCTAACCTTGGTGTTCTGTGAAAAACCTCTAAATGAACCCTTAGGTATCAAGGCAAATAAATGCTCTGAAACTTCCAGAAGTAGGCACAGCACTACATCCTTGTAGCAGCACAATGAAACGATGGCATCATCCTTTAGACAGTCTGTGGCCAGTCAGTGCACACCGAGCACCTAATCTGGGGTCTTATCAAGGTGGTACTTACTTCTGGGGATCTTGCTGGGGTAAATCTTCTGGCATGGTTTATACTCATCCGGAGGGGGGAAGTCTTCCACAGAATGGAACGTGAATTTGGACTCAAAGTCATCTGCACACACGGGAAATGGTAAGGTTTACTTAGGTTTCTGTCACGACCCCAGAGCACACAGGTTACTCTGACTGAATACACTGAGTTCTGTTTGCCTGCTCAGAGCATGGAGTTTCATGGCAGGCCATTCCCTGAAGATGTCCGTCCACCTCTGGTCTTATTGGTTGGCTGGGACCCGGGGAAGCAGGAAAGGGGAATCCATAGTCACTCCCCATCACCCAGCCCAACGCACCCCAACACCACCATAAGGAAGCTGCCACAGGGGCAGAAGTGGCACAGGCCTCTCCAGGGTCCAGAGTCAGAGGTAGGGACCCTGGTGCTCACAGGGGACCAGCAAAGTCCCAGCAGCCTGAAGCACCTGAAGAGGGGGGCTGAGTCCCCAGCTTGGCTGGAGGGAGGAGTGTCCCCTGTGGGCCCCAGGCTCCCCCCACCAGATGGCTTCTGCCCTGAGCTCCTGCTGGCAGGAGCGGAAGGGTCTTGTGGCCCTTTCATAGGCTGAGTCCCTGCTTTGTGACCTGGGCCTTGTGTCTGACACTAGTGCAGCAATCGAAAGGGATCCAAAGATTCTGCGGCCTCACTCACATCTGACCCCAGGTGACCTTCCTTCCTACCTCCATATTTTTGCTCTAATGGTCCCCTGCCTGGTGAGCCTTCCATCTATTCCTTACCCTATCCAAGTCACTCTAGTCTTTCAGGCTATGCACTGATTTCCCCATGAAGACAGACAGACAGACACACACACACACACAGAGCTGAAATGCTGGTTTTCTTCTTTTTCTCTAATGTGAATCAGAAGGCTAGAAAGTGGGCCCTGGAAGTACCCAAGAAGCCTTGAGAGAAACCCTGCGTAACAGAGGCTGTGGGCTTTTGGGCGCCAGAGTGAGAATCACGCACCCGGGACTGACAGCACTGTGGCTGGCGAACTCTGTGCAGAGGCCGGGCCCTCACCGGGCCTTCACTCACCGAGGATGTGCAGGCTTCCGTTTCGTAGCTGGCCTCCGGGCTGCTGTGTCGGGGTCCAGGCTGGGGCCTGCTGGCTCTTGCTCGAAAGCTCTGTGGTGGGTGATCTCGCAGGGGGTGCTGGGGGTGGATTTAGCTTTCCACCACTGGTCCCTTAAGAGAAGATGATGGTGCATTCAGATACAGGAATGGGGATGGTTGACGCCATAACCTTATGTGAGAGGGTAAGGATTTGAATCTTGGGATGTATTATGATACCACGAGTAAAAGGGCAAAGTTTGGAGCCAACCTGCTTGTCAATGAACTGCAGTTCTCTCCTTGGGATAAATAACATAGCCTTTTTGTGCCTCAGTTCTCTCATCTGTAAAATGGGAGTAATAATAGTACACATATACCTCCTAGGGTTATTGAGAGGTCAAATGGGTTGACTGAAGTCGAGCAGCACGTAGTAAGTACTCAATAAATATCAGCTTCTGTGATGATATCAGTGATGGTCCTCATCATCAGACCTCATGGCCCAAAGCAGGTGAGTGACGCAGAGTCATAAGAATGGGAAGGGCTATCTGTGAATGAGGCCCAGAGGGAGGCCAGAAGGAGGAGCTGGCAGGGGCTCATTCCTACCCTCGAGTCTCTGCTCACACTGGTTCTCCAGCATTGCAAACCCTCATTTCTCCGTCCAGCCAGCCTAATCCAACTTGCTCACAGGACCAAACTCCAATCCAACCTACTTCCTCAAGCCCTCCCTGATCACACTGGGGAGAGGCTCACTCTCTTGCCAGTAATTTCCTGCATGGCTCACTTGGCAATCAATGACCTGCCGTCTTGGCACATCCATGCAGGTATGCCACTGCCGCTTACTTCTTCAGAGATATTATTGCAAAAATCACTTTGCTTCTTGAAATGATGACAGTCACACCACGATTATCTGTGCCAAGATGTTTGCAATTATGATCTCCTTCTCTTCCCAAGATGGGCAGAAATTACCCTTATTTCGAACATGGACAAATCAAGTTTTACATCTGAAGACCCCAAAAAGAGGTCAGACAAATATCCCTTCCTGACCTGCAGCTGCTGCTCTGGAGCCAGGGAAGACGCCTGGCTTCCTTCCCAGGCTCCTTCTTCTCCCTTTCTGCCCTTCCCTTCCTGGGCACAAGGACCCATTAGGAATTTCCTTGCTCCCATGAGCAGGCTACATGGGAGCAATTCACCCACTTCTGGACAAACAGCTTCTCTGCATGATAAAGAAATAACGGTGGTAGAGCCCCAGTTACATGCAAGGCCTTTATGCACATTTTCTCATTTAATATTCCAAACAATCCTATGTGAAAGGTGGTGTTATTATTCCCATTTGGCAAATGAAACAAAAAAAAACCATGAAGATTAAAAAAAAAATCAAAGAAACAACTGGCATGAGGTTCTATAGGAGTGGGTGGGGAACCCAGGATTTGCACTCAGAGCCCTCTGAATCAAAAGCATTGTTTTTTCACCTCCCCATGAACGTTTAAAAATGAGAAATATCAGAAGGGGCTCACCAGTACAAATGCTGGCTCTCTTGGTGACCAGTCAGTTGAAAGGAGAACGATTAAAACTTTATCTCTTGTGATCAAGAGTCTTTAAAAGATCTTTGCCCTCTGTACCAGGAATTCCCTTTAAGAAACTTATCATTTAAGAAAAAAATCCAAAATGTAGACTGAAATTTCTATTGGAAGTATTTCTTGCAATATCATTCATGCTAACAAAAAATAGAATCAAAATTAGATATCTAACGCTGGTAACATGCAGTATACTGATTATCATATTAATATACTTACAAAGAAATTATAACAATTTGACAAAATTGCTTTTATTTTTTTTTTTATTTTTTTTTTGAGACAGAGTCTCGCTTTGTTGCCCAGGCTAGAGTGAGTGCCGTGGCGTCAGCCTAGCTCACAGCAACCTCAGACTCCTGGGCTTGAGCGATCCTTCTGCCTCAGCCTCCCAAGTAGCTGGGACTACAGGTATGCGCCACCATGCCCGGCTAATTTTTTCTACAATATCAGTTGGCCAATTAATTTCTTTGTATTTATAGTAGAGACGGAGTCTCGCTCTTGCTCAGGCTGGTTTTGAACTCCTGACCTTGAGCAATCCGCCCGCCTCAGCCTCCCAAGAGCTAGGATTACAGGCGTGAGCCACCGCGCCCGGCCAAAATTGCTTTTAATATTAAATAAAAAACCCCACAAAACCGTATGTGCAAAATGGTATTAAATATATGTACCATGTAAACATGTACATATATTCAGAAAAAAAAATAAAGGAAACATATCCAAATGGCAGTTTTCATCCCTGGGTGATGTAATTGTTATGGGTGATTTCAATTCCCCTCTATTTTGTTCTACAACGAGCTTGTATTGTTTTTAATTCAAGAAAATACGTTTAAGAAACTTTCTGCATTAAGAGAGTTCCTGAAAGACAAAGAAGGGTGTGTCTGAGTGCAGGTGTGGCTGTGTGTGTTTATGAGCGTCTGTGTGCGTGGACGTGGGTGTGTGTGTGAGTGAACGTGGGGTGTGTGCATGGACGTGGGTGTGTGTGCGTGCACGTGGGTGTGTGTGCGTGCACGTGGGGGTGTGTGCGTGCACGTGGGGGTGTGTGCGTGCACGTGGGGGCGTGCGTGGACGTGGGTGTGTGTGCGTGGACGTGGGTGTGCGTGCGTGGACGTGGGTGTGTGTGCGTGCACGTGGGTGTGTGTGCGTGCACGTGGGGGGCGTGCGTGCACGTGGCGGGGTGCTTTCCATGCAGGAAGGCAGGCGAGGTGAATGAAGCCTCACCACTCCAGGAACCTGGGAAATCCGTCATGGCCATGTACACTCAATTCAAAATCGTCTGTGCTGGAGATGTGAAGGAATTGTTTTTAATATTTAATATCAAAATACAGGCCTGCAGTTTTCAGTTACAGACTCAAGTCTGTGGCAAAGCTGTGAAAAAGGCAAACCCAACCCACTGAGGGCCGGTGGGGAGTCGGGCTGGGAGCCAGACCCGAGGAACTCAGGTGAGAGGAAACAGAACTGGTTCTGGAAACAAACCACACCCACACCCTCCACCACCTTGGGGGGAGTTGATTCGAAGTCGGAGGATGACAGTAAAAATAGTAACTTGTCTGGAGCCCACTGTTGCGGGGCCTGTTCCCAGCGCCTTGTGCGTAAGAACTCAATCCTACAACAGCCCGAGGAGGCAGGAGGAACTAGTGCCAACTATCCCCATTTCACAGACGAAGAGAAGGGAGCACAGAGAGGCTACGCGGTTGCCTGGGGTCACACAGCTAGTGAAGGCAGGGGATCCCGGTTCCCGCTCGCTCGCCCCGGGCGCCGCTCACCTGGGCCGCGGCCGTGCCTCTTCTTCTGCAGGAGCGCCGGGGCGCCGGGAGCGGCGGGCGGCGCGGGCAAGGTCTGCGCGCCGGCCTTCGGCGGCTGGGCCTGGAAGCTGGGGGACTTGGGCGGCAGCGGGGGCGGGGCTTCACCGCCGCCGGCGCCCGGCAAGGGCGGCGCGGGCACCGCGGCCCTCGGGGAGCACGAGGCGTAGAGGGGCGGCGGGGGCGGCGGGGCGGGCGGCTCCGGCCCGTCTTGGGCGGGGCTGGCGGGCTCCGCGCTGAGCCCGGGGTACCCACAGGGCGGGAGGAGAGGGAGCGGGGGCGGGATGGGCGGCAGGTGCAAGGGGGCTAGCTGAGGCTTTGCCGCCTTGTCGCCGACAACGGAGGCAGGCGGCAGTGGAGGTGGGGTCGGGGGAGGTGGCGGTGGAGGAGGCGGAGGCGCGCAGGGGACAGGGGGTGCGACCACCGGGGGGTTCCCTTTGGTCGGTGGGCCAGACGGGGACACCAGCGGAACTTTGACCGGGGAGGACGAGGGCAGGGGTGGGGGTAAGGGCGGGGGAGGTGGGGGCAGAGTGGGAGGTGGCGGGGCGGGCACGTTGGGACGAGGAGGGACTGTCCTGGCGGCGCCATGCGTCTCGGAGGCATTGCCTAGCCTGGGAGAGGCAGGGGGGTTAAGCGGGCCGCTGATGGATTTGGTGGGAAGTCTGGGAGAAGGCGCTCGGGAGCCAGGGCCCTGCCCTGTCTTGGTACCTGGAAGTGAAACAAATTCTGGGTTAGCTGGGCAAGAAAGGAAGGAGAACCCCCAAGCGTGTGGGCGGCGGCACTCAGGACACCCACGCATGCCGTCAGTGAGCTGCATGGTAGACTGCTTTTTCTGCATATCCACTGAGACGCCTCGGGTGTCACAGCTGTCACACTGGAGGGCCAGCTGGACCAGCCCCAAGGAGCTGTCCTCCTGTAAGACAAGCCCAGGTGAGGCGATCAGCCTTCGATCCATGCCACCTCTGCTCTCATCTGCCCAGGGGTATCTAGGTCTCCCAGCCCAGGGCACAGGACCGACCCCACCTCCTTCGCCCTTCCTCATCTCAAGGCCACCCACTCACTCCCTGTTACCTGCTAGGTCCATCAGCCCCTATGCTCTAGTCTGCATCCTCAGGTGTACCAACCACAAGTCCTGGCTAGGGACTCACTCCCAGAATTCTGTGAACAAGGACTTTCTTTGTTTCTGCACTGAGAACAGAAAATTCATGATTCCCTGAATATGTAAGGTAAGTCAGGAAGGGGGGCATTTGCCATTGGCAATCCAAGTCCAATGACCTTGAACCTCCCAGTTCCATGGCTAGGAGAGAGAGCTACAAGTAGAACTACTATTTGATCCAGCAATCTCATTACTGGGCAATCTACCAAAAAAAAAAAAAATGACATTCTATAAAAAAGACATGTTCACTCGAATGTTTATAGCAGCACAAGTCACAATTGTAAAGATATGGAAACAACCCAAGTGCCCATCAATACATGAGTGGATTAATAAAATGTGGTTTATGTATATCATGGAGTTCTACTCAGCCACAAAAAACAATGGTGATCTAGCACCTCTTGTATTATCCTGGATAGAGCTGGAAACTATTCTACTAAGTGAGTATCACAAGGATGGAAAAACAAGCACCACCTGTACTCGCCATCAAATTGGTATTAACTGATCAACACTTAAGTGCACGTATAGTAGTAACATTCATTGAGTGTTGGGCAGGTGGGGGGGGAGGAAGGGATGGATATATACATACCTAATGGGTGCAGTGCACACCATCTGGGGAATGGAGCTTAAGAGCTTGAAGCTCTGACTTGGGTGGGGCAAAAGAAATATGTGTAACCTAAACATTCGTACCCCCATAATATGCTGAAATAAAGAAAAATAAAAATACATATAAACTTGGAAAAAACTTACGCTAATTCCCAAGGGGCTGGCTATTTCCTGGTCTCCTGGCTTTCTCACCCTCTAGATCTTTCACTGTACCTGCCCCAACTTAATTCAATGCCTCTTTGAATTCAGCAACAGCAACAAATTGCTCATGGTCATAAGCATTTCTGTTTGGCACACTTCACAGAAGACTAGGGTGGGGGGGTCCCTGGAAGGGGCTCTGCACTCTTTGCACAATATTGTTGGTTCTCACCCTTTTTTCTCTCTGCCTTTAAGAAAAAAAAGAGTTCCTCTTCCTCTTTACTACATAGAAGTTCTGTAGCCATTGATTAAATACATCCTTGGAGTATCACTGTTCTACTCAGGAGGCATATTAAAATATTTCCCCCAAGTAGAGCATCGTTCCTAAAAGAAATTTTGGGGAGTACATGGTTCCCTATTTTAGCACCCCTATGTTTTATAAGCCCCAAAATAGCATGTGGAAAACACTTGGAAAAATGGGGGCTTCTCACACCTACAACTTCCCGGGTGCTGCAGAATAGGAAATGCAGCAGCACTCATTTCAGATCCTAAACCTCAGCATCTAAGGGGGTTCTGAGCTTTTCAGAGCCTGCCGCTCCAGTGCGCTTACCCAAGCAGATGCTAAATCACCCTAAAGCACTTGATGTGAAAGCCAGGCCAATCAAAGCAAGGCATGACAGAAGCGACTGGGGGCTGACCAGGTGGGCAGGACCTCAGTTATCTATTTTTCCAAATGGGAGACCCTCAGGCTATGATGTGACAGTCACCTGGACAACAATGCTATGGAGTGGCTATTCTTATTTATTTATTTATTGAGACAGAGTCTTGCTTTGTTGCCCAGGCTAAAGTGAGTGCCATGGCGTCAGCCTAGCTCACTGCAACCTCAATGGCATGCACGGAGTTGAGAGCTGGGTTACTGGCGCGGCTATCTAAAATATGTTGGCCAATTTAATTCTTTCTATTTTAGTAGGATCTCACTCTTGCTCAGGCTGGTTTCGAACTCCTGACCTTGAGCATGGTCTGTCCTCCCAGAGTGCTAGGATTACAGGCGTGAGCTACCGCGCCCGGCCTGGAGTGGCTATTCTTAAGGTAAGGCAGTGACATCATTATTCCTCTGTTGAGGGTTCTCTTTGGAGTGATTCCAGAAGAGATAATGTCTTGGCTGACTCGATTCCCCTGGGAGTCCAAGGCTGAGGTGCCAGAACAACTGGCTGACCATGACCAGGAGCGGACGGACCTACCTTGCCTTTCCAGGGAAAGATCATCTACCTGTAACTCCAACGTTAGACATTTCACATGCATCTAAGGCAGTGTGTCAGCTCAGATCCTGCCTAAAAGTTCTCAAACCTGTTTCCATAGTGCACAGAGGTGAGAGGGAGGACCCAGGCAACTCTCTAAACAAGGCTAGGCCAACCTAGATGCCTGGTTGTTGAAGGAAAGTTAGAGGGCTAATAAGTATGTAAAAACGGAATAGAGACTACCCTTGAATAACACATCCAAACTTTTTAAGTGACTGAAGACACCATGGATCCAAGATTCAAAATCCTTCCAAGTGAGTCAGTTGAAAGAACAGGATTCTCCGCTTACTGTGCAGCAAGCCAAATGAGAAATGTGGGCAAGCCTATTTGTATCCTAACATGACAAGCAAGGGCGGCCCAAATCCTTGCTCAGCTTATGGTCGCGCCCACTTTGGGACGAAGGTGAGACCCACGGAGAGAGAGACTGAGGCACACGTGCGGGCCGGGCGAGGGAAGCAGGCAGGCAAGCCAGCAGAGCGCTCTCAGAGAGCCAAGGGTCTGGCACCTGTAATGCTAGCACTCTGGGAGGCCAAGACAGGAGGATCGCTTAAGCTCAGGAGTTTGAGGTCGCAGTGAGCTACGATGGCACCACTGCAGCGACAGAGAGAGACTCTTGTCTCAAAAAAAAAAAAAAAGAAGAAAGAAAGAAAGAAGAAAAAGAAAGAAAAAAAGCTCAGAGAAGGAGGAGGCTGTCCTTCATAACTGCATAACATAAATGCTAGTTCTAGAAATCCAAAGAAAACACAAAAGGAGACCAACAAGTGGGTGGGGAAGGGCGAGCTTGAGGGCTTCAAGGATGCACTCCCAGTATGAAAGGATTCCGAGCTGTTAGCGTCTGGGGGTTTACCAAAAGATGAAATATTTCTTCTTCTTTAAACCTGTATATGTTTCCCAGAAGACCTGTGCTTGCATGGGAGTCTGATTACACACTCTGTACAACCCAGTGATAATGTTTTCTAATTGTATCTTATTCTTACTGTCACTCCCTCAGAGCTCTAAGCCAAGGCTGCATGATTCCAAGGACCCTAGTCACTTTTGCCTCTGTGGGCCCCTTCCGCCATAAAAAATATTTATATTTATGACTGCATTGGTATAAAGACAAATATTATCTCTGACCCTGAAAGACTGTGTTTTTTCTTCTGATTTTAAAAGAAATTTAAATATTTTTGTGGGTCTCGGAAAGCATTGTGATGCCTAGACACTGTGCTTGTGGTGCCTAATGGGTAAGTCAGCAACCACGCTACCCATTCACACGTTCCATTCAGCAGATATTTACTGAGCACCTACTATGTGCCAGGCATTTTAAAGTTAGTGAACAAAACATAGCCTTGCCTTCATGGAGCTTACACTTAGAGGGATAAGACAGACCATAAACACATAAACCAGTAACTGTAAAATGCATCAAATGGTGACAAGTAATATAAGATAAATCAAGGTCACAGAGATATGGAATGAAGGGGTAGGAATGATCTTTTGTGCGGGATGATGAGTGAAGACCTCACTGTACGTTGGTCAGGTGTCACTTGAGCAGAGACCTGAAGGAAGGGAGAGAGTGAGCCACGTGGACACCTGGGGAAGAGTCTTTTAGGCCAAGGGAGCAGTTGGTGCAAGGGCCCTGTGGCAGCTACATGCACTGTGTGTGCAAGAGCAGCAAAGAGGGCACTGTGGGTGGGGTGGAGGGCATGAGCCAGCAAGAATGGTTGGCAGTAAGATCAGAGGGGAAGCACAGTCCTAACACCTAGTCTATGAATGAGAAAGGGGCTGTCAGGAGAGGGCTGAGAGAGGAGAGCTATGGTCTGTCTTACCCTGGCATGTACCCAATCCGTGCATCTACTTATTTATTGGCTTTCTCTTTGAGTTTCCATCCTGTAACAGGCAGCATCAGTCACTTCATTATGGACCTCAATCTCTAAAGAGATAAATGCTTATCTTCCCCAACACAGTGGCTCAAACATCTGACAAGTGTGTCCTGTCAGAGACAAGCAGGCAGGCAGGAGGACTGCCAGCCTACTCTGGCTAGTCCCTATGGACAACTGACTGGTGTTACTTTTCCTATCATTATTTCTACAAAGAGAAACTGGTAGAAGCTTTATATCCCAAAGGATAGTCATTTGATAGCACTCAGGAATTCTGAAAAATAAGAGGGCACTGACGAATATCCACTCTCATTATTGAGAAAGACCTTCGCACTATCTTTTCTGCCAAACTCTCAGTGAAAATGAGAAAATGAAAATGGCCCCTGAGAAGGTTCAAGTCAGATCTCAGAGCACCCTCGAGCCCTTATCTTTGCTGGACTTATCAGTGGGTGCAGGCAGCAAGTGCATTCCATGATGTTAAACAGTCACAGATGCCACGGAAAAGGTTAGAAAAGCCACACTGTGGAAGATTTGGTAGGAGATCTGAATAGTTCTTAAATTAATGACATTCCTGGAGTTTTAATCAGTTGCTGGCTAAAAAGCACAATCATAGGAACACTCTTTTTGCTCATAGTAAATATATATTAATATTTTGCCCATTTTAATGCAATACTTTAAAAACATCTGCTGCCCACTACAACACAGATGATCTCAGTAGACCGATTACAAAAATGGTCTTAATTACCCGCTCTTGCCTGATTCCATAATCTTTCCAATGTGACTTTGCAGTTCTTCTCATCAATAGGTGAAGTCTATTTACCCATCCTTGCCCTGGGCTGGCCTTGTGACTTGCTTTGGCCAAGAGTATGTGGTAGGAAGTAATACTTCCTAGACTTCCAAGTTGCTTCCTGGTAATCTTCCAAGACTAAGGCCCAAGAGACTTTACACACTTCTGTCTTTTCTCTTGGAACTATGCCACTGCCATGAAAACAAGCCCAGGGCAGCTTGCTGGATATTGAGAGACCACATGGATTCGAGGTGAGTCAGGCCAGTTATTGCAGTGGAGGCCCCAGAGGTAGGAGAAATACAAGGTCAGCAAAGTCACCACTCAACCTGAAGTCGTTTGCAGATGCTAGAGGGAGTCCAGCTGAAACCACTCGAAATTGCTAACCCACAGAATTGTAGGCCAAATAAATGGTTGTTTAAAGCCTTTATGTTTTAGGGTGTTTTGTTACACAGCAATACCTAACTGATACAACGACTAAACCATTACAACTCCCACATTGCTAGTGAGTCCACAGTGATGTCACTATCATCTATTACGATTTGTACCTCCTGTCTATATGTTGCAGTTTGGGTCACCAACACACCATCACTCAGTACTGCACACTATTGCGATTCATTCTTCAACTGGTACAGTGGGATCATTTAAGCAGGATGATGATTTAAAAGATTCCCTGAGCCATTTTGTGTTTTGGAAACTCCTAGTGCTTAAGGGCCCAAATACATGATCTCCTTCTCTGTGAGTGCTCACTAAAGACATGTCCCTTACTGGCATGTCTGGATGGCCCAGTTGGTTTCACAAGACAGGCAGTCTGAATTCTTCCTTACCTGCTGCATCCCTCTGGCCTGCTGGGCGCAACACAGGAAAGCCACCAGCAAACAGATCTCCCAGGGCTGGGGGCGTGCTCACCGCTCGTGAGTTCGTAGACCCTCCTCCTTCTTTGCTGGTTCCCTTAGAACCTTTAGAGAAAAGAGGCAAATAGATGAGGACTTGTGAGCAGAGCGGTGCAGCCAGTTCTCATTCTGGGCCATGGTCTAACACTGCACTCATCACCTTCCCATTCTCCCACCTCTAATGTCACCCTTCCACTCAGCATCCTCCCTAAGCACCCTCTCTGCCTTGATACCCTGCAGACCCATTTGCCTCAGCCTGTCTGCTACTCTCCCCGGTCCTACCAAAGAGCTGACTGACTGGGGCCAACCACCCTTCAAAAAGTGACCAAAACAAAGGGACCTGAATGCTGCCATTCTGTAGATGCCAAAGGGGGAACTGGCAGCACCTTTTGAATTAGAAACCAAACGTGGGAGGGGTAAGAGCTGGTCCTATCTGCAACGTGACCAAAGAAAACCCATGGATTTAATTCATTCCGTCATTTTAACTTATTGTCCACAGAGTGTTGCCCAGAAGGGCAGGCAGGAGGACGGACAGCAGTGATTTCTGCTTCAGAATTTTCCTTCCTGTCTCCGCAGCTCCTGGACCTGAGCCCCTCACACTTCCCTGCCTTTTCTTCCACGGAACAGAAAGCTCATGAGCCCTGGGGAGACGTGTCACTAATTCCAGCCTTCCATATGATTACCAACTACAGAAAACGAGAAGATATTCTGCTTAGACAAGAATTCTTGGCAGAAAATATTAATATTTACAACCAGAAGCTAATATGCACCAAGCAATTAGGGCACAGTGCCCACTGGTGGATGAAAGTGGCCAGATTATTCTGAGCGTTAATATTGTACATTACTCACTGGAATGATTAGGAAGTGTTGGAATAGGAGTATTCCAATAAAATGGAGTTATCTGTTAATTGGGCTTAACCAATTAGATGGTGGGTTTAACCAGAAATTAATTTTTATTGTAAGCAATGTTGAAATATGTCTTAAAAATTTGTATATCCTTGTGCATTAACATATATAATTATAGGTAGGAGAAACAATTATATTTTTAGGACTATCTTTAAGAACTACCATTGTGCACATCATTGCAAAATATATGAAGACATAATATCTTACATTACAGGGTGAGCATCCCTTATCTGAGCTTGGGACCAGAAATGTTTTAAATTTCAGATTTTGTAAAAATTTTGAAATATTTGCATTTACATAATGAAATACTTTGGAGAATGGGACCTGAGTTTAAACATGAAATTTACATATGTTTCATATGTCCCTTTACATACAGCCTGAAGGTTAATTTTATGCCGCATTTTTAATAATTTTGTGCATAAAGCAAAGTTTGTGTATATTGAGACATTAGAAAGCAAAGGTGTCACCATTATCTCAGCCACCCACGTGGACCAGCTGTGGGCATTTGGCATGGCCATCATTCCTGACTCTGAATTTATATGCTACAGATAAGAGGTCGTTTTCTTACACTTATTCACAAGTGCTTACTGGTCAAAATATGACATATGACAGTGAAAAAATTATGTGCTCAAGGTAACTAAGCAACGCAGTAGCCGCACTGCAATACCTGTATCAGCTGTTAAAAAACAGCCACGACAAACAGCAGGCTTTCAGTCTCCACTTGCAATGCTGTGTTTGGACTAGAAGGTTACTGTACACTGCATTTTATTTTTTTAGGTGAGAGGAAACATCAGAATCAATTGAGGGACCAGGAAGTGGGTCCTCCAGGGATGAGGATGTGTTCTGCTGGATGGCTTTTTAAAATACTTCCTCCAGAGTCATCTGCCTCATTAACAATGGTTTTCGTCTTGGAAGTCTCTCTTTGATTTCATAAACTGATACGATTTCTTGTTCTGTTATGAATGCACATTGCTCTGGCCCTTCCAGAAGCCCATCCCACATTTTCACCAGGTCACGTGCAGGCACTTTTTCTGCAACGTTACACTGTCACCTTATTACCTACTTGTGACACCCCGTCAGGACTCAAAATGTTTGCATTTAGGATTTTCAGGTTAGGGATGCTTAACCTATGCTAAATTGCTCTGCGTATACTATTTCAACTTTCGACAATCTTGACCAAAATAAGAAAAAAGGATCAGGTATTATTATCCTCCCCATTTTGCAGATAAGCCAACAGCCTCAAAGAGGTTCCTTGACTTGTCGGGTAGCGGAGCCAGAACTCAAGATGGGTCATCTGACCCGGGCATGGGACTCATTTACTATATCATACTCTAGGAGACAGAAAGCTTCAGTCATGTAATCCCCTGAGACAGAATTTTTTTTTTTTGAGACACAGTCTCACTCTGTTGCCCTGGCTAGAGTGCCGTGGCATCAGCCTAGCTCACAGCAACCTCTAACTCCTGGGCTCAAGGAGTCCTCCTGCCTTGGCCTCCCAAGTAGCTGGCACTACAGGCATATGCCACCATGCCTGGCTTATTTTTTCTATATATTTTTAGTTGGCCAATTCATTTCTTTCTATTTTTAGTAGAGACAGGGTCTCGCTCTTGCTCAGGCTGGTTTTGAACTCCTGACCTTGAGCGATCTGCCCGCCTCGGCCTCCCAGAATGCTAGGATTACAGCCATGAGCCACCAGGCCCGGCCCAGAATTCTTAATAAATCTTTCTCCTTATGAAAAATGAAACAAACACTTTAAAAATTTTTTTAAAATGTTGAGACCTTCATTTTCTATTACTGAGTTTGAGGACAATGTTGACATAGGGTACGTGATCTTTAAGTGTTACCCTACACAGGATACATAAAATGTGCTATGTCCATACAATGAAATATTATTCGATGATAAAAAGTGAAGTACTGATACAGCATGGATGAAGCTTGAGAACATTAGGCTACATGAGAGAACCAAGTCACAAAAGGCCATATATTGCATGATTCTGTTTCTATGAAATACCCAGAACGGGCAAATCCATGGAGACAGAAAGTAGACTAGGGTTGCCAGGAGCTGAGGGCTGGGAGGGAGGGGAACGACTTCTGATGGGTATGGGGTTTCCTTCTGGGGTGATGGAAATGTTCTGGAACTGGATAGGGGTGATCATTGCAACAGCATTGTGAATGTACTATTGATAAATGCCATTGAATAGGATACATTGAAATGGTGAATTTCACATTATGTGTATTTTATCACAATAAGAAAAGTTACCCCACCATGATGTCCATTGAGCAGGTGTGAGGTGGCTAGATATGTGTCCTGGGAAACTGTGCCCCCAGACACCGGAGGCTGTGCCTCACAGCAGGTCGGGCCAAGCTGCTCACTTACCCTCGATCTGCGGGGCACTGCGGTCATTGATCTGCGTCACTTTGCGCAGGCGAGTCCCTTGCTGGATATCAGCCAACAGCGCGCTCCGACCTTTCGGATCTGCCTTTCTTGAGCTGGGAGTGTCTGTGCTTACCTGTAAGGGAACAAAGGGGATTTGCAGATAAGCAAAACATCCAGTCCTGTCTGCTGTTTCTCCTCCTGCAGTTCTCTGCCTTCCTGCCCTATTCCAAGGCTGACCTCACGGATGCAGTTCCTACGGGTCTCAGTGGAGACGGTCTCAGGCCCTGCTCCCACCTCCCTCCCTGCGGACCCAGAATGGACTCTTTCTTTCAGATGACCCAGGCCCAAGTGCCTGCTGTGTGCGCAAACTTAGGGAGCCCTAACTCATAGCCCCCTCCTCCTCCCTCCTAGGTAAGGGTCCCCAAACCTGGGCTTCTGTCTGCGTGTACCTGGCCCTGCTCCCAGGTTCTGAGTGATCACCCTTCTGGGTGCCTCAGGTCCCCTTCTGGTCCGAATCCTCAGAGGACCTCCAGCTCAATGGCAGATGCTGCTCCTGTCTTGCCCTGGACAGTACTGAAGTCTTGCTCAGTCCCTAGGTACGCACCTCCTCCATGCAGTTGGGCCCCGGGAGCCCACACGTCTCTTAGCTGAAGCAGATTCAGAACCTCTGAGCTGGTTTTGAGGGAGAGATGCTGGCCTTCATGTGATCATGGGGCAGACGGGAGAACTAGGGAACTCAGGAGAAACTAGGGCTCAGAAAGTTGGGGAGAAAGGGAGGGCAGGAGATGAGGATGAATGTTTAGTGACTGCCCACTCTGCCTGTTGGGTTCCATTAATGCTCACAGTTTAAACTCACCTTGTGAGTTTAAGGCGAGCTTGCCCTCCCCTTTCACAGATGGGAATGAGACTAGGACCCTGTCTATTTGAGGTCACAGGGTTGGGGTTCCGACCCAGAAGGCCGAATCCCAAAGGCCACGTGCTTTTCACTTTGCAACGCGATAGCTATCAAGGGTGGTATCTTTAGGACCAGTGTGCTACAGGCTGCTGAAATGCTTCGTAAATATATTCTTGAAAACAACTTTTGTCCTAATTCTGCATGTAGCCTGAGATCTACCACTTCAATTCCACTGCCGCTGGAGATGGCACAGCAGGGGTTGCCTTGGGTTGTTAGAGTTGGGGAGCACCAGGAGGCATGTTGGGAGGCTGGCGGCAAGTGAGGGGAGGGACGGACTGCACTGGAACACACTGCCAGCAGGATTCTCTGAAGTTAGGAGGTCATACCATACGTGACCTTAGAGATGGCTGAACATTTCTCAAGGCGAGAAATACTTCTTAGTTCCTGCTGTGTGTACAGGGAATGCCATGTGTCTTTGGGGTTCAGCTTAAACATCACCACTTTGGAAGCCTTTTCTGATCCAAAATATAAATAAGGCCACCCACTGCTCTCTGTAAGGGTACCGTATTCCTTTGCCTTCTCTCTCACATTTATCATGGCATGTAAGTCTATATTTGTATTCCCATTGTGGTATTTTTCCATTTGTGGTTATGAGTTTAATGTTCATTACCCCCAAGGATTCCACATGAGGAAAAAAGACCCCATTTGTTGTGTTCGCCAATATGTCCTCAAGAGTAGAACCGGACCTGGCCCGAGGTAGGCTAAGTATTCACTGGATGAATGACTGAGTGAATGAATGAATGAACTAGATCCAGGATGTGTAAGACACTGCCCTTGCTGTCCAGGCATACAACATACAGGGAGACAGACACACACTGCCAGGAGTTAAGTCCCTAAATAATGCAGCGTATGACTCTGCACCCAGGCGAGACACAGAGAGGAAGACCCCAAACGCTCAGCAGTGGCCCTGTTCATCAGGCTGAGCAGGCTTTGAGGAAGACACCAGACCTCAGACGGTCCCTGAAACATAAACAGCATTTACAAATCCTTGCTATAGGCAGTTCCTGCCCAGAAAAGGACAAATCAGGTTTGCCGATAGAAACTCATGGACTCTGGTGTCACAGACTGGAAACGAAGGCAATTGTGGTTTTGGCTAAAATGTGCTGAGTCTACAGTTTCACTGCTGACTCGCCTGCTGGGGTTATGAATCTTCTGCAGGCTGTGAAGGGCACAAGCATCAAAATCTGATTCTTGTTGCCAGGAAAGACGCTTTTTGAACCCTTGAGAGGGACTTACAGATGATGGTCAACGAGAAAGTTGTGAGCAAGGGGGCCCCAACCCTAATTCACTGGAGACTTAGGGCCTGTCCAGAAAATATCCAGCCATCGTTAATATAATATAATTATATATAATTATTATATATGATAATAATTATTATATATGTGTGCATATAAATATTGTTTATATATAATATCATATTAATAATATTATATAATAATTTATTACATTACATATTATAGTAATAATAATTAATGTAATACATAATAATATCACATATTAACAATATTAACAATGGCTGGATACTTTCCAGACAGGCCTTGTATATACAGGCCTCATATATCATATATATGAAATTTATATATAAGTGGATACGTACACCAGGGCATTTTCTCAGGTATGCATTATAGTCAGGGATTTGAGAGAGAAAGTGCTTTTTAATTTTCCTCCTAGGTATAACATAAACAACCCCCCAGTGAATCATAATGATATTCACAGCCCAAATAGTCATGGGTAAGGCAAGGGTTAGGATGGTGTATTCTTTTGTTTAAAGAAGCAACTGGAATGATGAGAAAACGCTAACCCTTAACTTCTCCCCCACCCCCAGGGGGAGGGTCATCTCATTCAACTTCTACTGTTTATTACCAAAATCTATCCCCCTGTTCCCCGACCTGGCCCATCCCAAACTTTTTGGGCAAGGGCTATGAAGAATGTTTCATGTCCTTGAATAATGATTTTTAATTTTAGTACCTACTTAGCACGTGCCTCAGTAAGTCCTTGACAATTCTACATCACGGACTTGTTAATAAACATCTTCCAGGTCGGCAGGAGGATGTAAGTCACATCATGCTCACGTGCAGTTCAACTCTCTGGGCTAAACCTGGCATGGCTTTCACATCTTGGCTCTTTCCTGCTCCAGGGTCTGCCCTGACTCTCCTCCACTAGAGGGCTCTCCCTCACCTGATGTTATACGTGCCCTACAATCCTCTCTTCTCCTTTTTCTACCGAAAAGAATAACTTCATGGCTAAAGCGACCATATGCAATATGTTTAGATTCAATGGGCTTTGTACAGAAGGACATACTCACTGGTACTCTGAAGATCACATTACACAAAGACAGTCATTTCCACTCCATCCGCAGTATTTATTTACAACTCAACCATAACTTGCTTTCTTAAAAATCTACTACTACCCCAAGAGTTCTTGTTACTGTGGTTACAGGATGCAGAAAGAGGAAAGAGAAGATTTCCAAATATTCACTGAACGTTTTATTCTATGCAAATCCTGATCATTGGCAACTTCACTAAATATGTAATCAAGGCAGAGAAAGCACTTCTGGACGCTTTTCCCATGGAAGAAATAGGCACCAAAGGATAACACACACACACACACACACACACACACACACACACACACAGCAAAACAAAAAACCCAAGAAAACATAACTTTAGAGTATGCTCTTGTTCTTTCTTGTTAACACTGTTACCGAGTGTGACAATTTGTTGGGTTCCACACAAGGCTTTTGTTGATTCAGTTCTCCTCCAGCAAGCTTCAAAAGAAATAACCCAGGATCCTAAAAAGATGCAAATTAGATCATCTCCTTGGCTGTAAAGGTTGACAAACTGAAATGTGCCAATAAGGTTATAAATACAAGAATGGAATGACAGCCCTAACAGAGCCAAGGGTAGGATTAAAAATTGGTGAAGTGAGATGCCTTTCCTCTTGCCTTGATAAATTATAAAATCTTTTGCACATCCATTTGCCATTCCAACAAATGAGTCTACAGCTTACAGTGTAGTTTGGGGAAAGGGGATGACAGTTCAGCCCAGACCAAAAGTTTGAAATGCATGTCTCCTATTTGTCACCCTGCCACCATATGCCATTCCTGCACCTTTCCGATACTGGTTTCTGTAAAAAATGCTAACAAAAATCTAACTGGTTTTGATCCAAATTTAGCATGTTGTTTTTCTCAAAGATAATCTGAACCTATCATTTTAATCCAATTTCATCCTCATTGTCTCCTAAAGGCAGCTTCTCTAATGTGACTGTTAAACCCAAAGTTGGTGTCCAGGTTTCCAGGCACATGGTCCCACTTGTCACCCCAGCCCTCAGCCTACCCCCATCTTCTCAAACATGGGGGCAGACAGGTACCAGCAGCCAGGGAACTGCAGTTCATTACCAAGTTTGAATCCCAAGGACAGCCAGAATGGCAATGTCTCCCTTCTGCTTCTACCATCTTTATGTTGGCGAACACAGAGAGCCCGGGATCCAAAAGAGAGACATGAAATAGTTTTTAAAAAAACTAACCCTCCCCTATCAAGCCTGACACAATGTTCCCTGCACCCCCAAATGTGCATAAGTCAAGCTGTTCAATAATGAAGCACATTGAGATGTAATGGTTTCATAGTTCATTTTTAGAAATCTAAATATGCAATTCAAATCCACAAAGCAAAAAGAAAGTACCCGCTAACCTCTTTTTCTAAAGGCTGATGTCTTAAACAAAACTGTATACAGACCTGTGACTGTTACCTAGAGCAGAGAGCTGGCTCACCCTGTGCCATGTCACTGCTCTGCAGGTAAAGCAGAATTAGGGGCCCTTTCATTGGGGCTACAGGGTATAGGCGAGTCTGGTCCTGTTCTTGATACACATAAAAAAAGGCCCATCCATCAAGGTTATCTCATTTGCTGGCATGACTTTGGTTACTATTTTCTGCAGCCACTTCCTTGTTCAAGGACCCAAAGTCCATCCAAGACTCTTCCCTCCTTCTCATTCCCAACTGCCAGTCCACACAAAGTCCTGCTGGCTCTTCCTGAACAGTTTCTCTGGAATCAGGCTCCTCTTCTCCGTCCTTGCCATACTGTCTTCATGCAGGCATTAATCACCTCTGGATTCCCTCTTGTGGTCTTCCTGCCTTCTGTCCTGTCCTTCTCTACACAGCAGCCAGAGTAATATTCAGAAGGATGTGCCATTTATTATGTCACTACCATCATAAACTCCTTGCTGGATCCCCACTGGTCTTAGGATACAATTCAAATCCCCCCACACTGTGCAAGACCCTTAGTGACCAGCCCAGATTTTCTGCTCCTTGAGCATTCCACACTGGAGCTCACCTCCAGACCTCAGCTTGAGCTAATCTTTTTTCTCTTTTTATACTTGTCTCTTGGCCATCTCTTAAGAAGCCTCCAGATCCTGGAGGGCCAGATGAAGAGCCCTGTCTGTATTCCTGGAGCAACACGCTTACCCTTAGCAGAGCATCTGCCACCCTGATCATGTTATTCCACTCGAAACCTGCACTGACTTTCTATCTCACTCAGAATGAAAAATTCAGAGTCTTTGTTAACATCACCTGCTGGGCTTGACTGCATGTCCATATGCTAGCCTGGGTTTACCTATAAATTCCAGCATTTTCCTATCCAAATCGGTGTTATAAAGCAGTTTTACTGTGTAGCAATCCCTCCCTAAAAACTGCACAACTGATAATATATTTTGGTACTTACTTTTAACAACAGTGAGAATTTTGACTCCAATATGAATTCCAAGTTCAGTGGGAAATAATTGGAAAAATAGGAGAATAAATATTAGGGATGAAAAGAGTAGAAATGAAGAAATATGGAGAAAGAGGGATCTAGAGATGTGTGTGAACAGGGCTGATGGAGACAGGTTTCGGAGGCAGGGATTGGAGATTCTACTACCCTAGGGGCATAAATTAGAGACATTAAACATACAGATGGTAGATCAGATACTGGACAAACACATGTCTTTAAATGCATGTGAAGATTATTCACTGACAAAATGAATATATAAGCAGTTCATGGAAACTGTTGGAGAAAAGGGGCTTGAAAAGATGGTAAATATAAATCAGTAAAGCGAGCCCCCCTGACACCAATGTAACCCAGTACTATATAAGATTTGAGCGCTGACTCTGTGCCAGGCATTGTGTTCAGAGTGGGGGATACAGCGTGGGTAGGACTGCCAGGATCTTGTCCTCAGGGAGTGTATGTGCATATGCATGTGCGTGTGCATAGTCATGTTCTGCATAAGGACTTTCAGTCAACAAACTGCATGTATGCTGGTGGCTACATAAGATTACAATACTGTATTTCATTGTATCTCTTTCATGTTTAGATATATTTAGATACATAAATACTTACCATTGTGTCCCAGTTGCCTACAGTATTCAGTGTAGTAACACCCTGTACAGGTGTGTGGCCTAGGAGCAATAGGCTATGCCACATAGCCTAGGTTTGCGTAAGTATAGTCTATGATGTTCCCACAATGACAAAATCACCTAATGATGCACTTCTCAGAAAGTATCTGCTTTGTTAGGTGAAACATAACTGTGTGTGTTTATACACATATTTATATATATTTGTGTGTATATATGTATATACATATTGTTTCCCATTATTTATTTTCCAGATCCAAGCCTCCTAGCTGGTCTTCAAAACTGGATCCTCATCTCTCTCTTAGACCACCTTCAGATCGTCTTTAAAGCACTAATTGTCTGACTCCCCTTCTCAAAATACTTCAGTGGCTTTCCACTCTCTACCAAATCAAGGAATCCAGCCGCACTGCCCCAAGGTATCTTTCCTTGGCTAGTTATAGCCTTTCACCTGCTCAGGATTTCTCCCATGTTTCTTCCTTCCTACTCCCAAGTCTGTGCTCAGGCTACCTCCTCTTCAGGGCTGCCCCCACCCCAGCCCTGCGTCTCTGCCAAACCCTTTACCTCCTACTAAGCTCTTACATCAAATACAGTTTGTTTTACAAAATCTTTTTTTTTAAACTCCTTCAACTAAACTTTCCCTGTATGATCCGCTTCCCTGACCACAACACATCGTTTGTAATTCTCTATAGCACTACTCATATCTTGCCCAATAGTATAGCTTCTATATGTTGGTCTTACCCTTATTTTTTAGTGCAAAACCTAGCCACTCCCCTTTCTATTAGCAGTGAATCCAGCTTAAAAAAAATGTGAGCAATCTGTCAATATTTTGATGAAATACCAACCTTAATCCCTAGATATTTGACTCTGCCCCCCCCCCCGGCATCTACCTGCCCCCACAGAACACACAGGTGTGGGAAGAGAAGTTGCTGCCTTTTGAGGTCATGCTTTGGCTCTGATTC